ATTACCTTGTGAACAACAAATTCGATGGTGTTTGTAATGGGCATGGTGGAAGCTTGAGATCATTGCGCTCTCAAAGCAACATTGCCAACACCGTCAAAATTGAAGTTCTTACATTCCTCTTATTTCCGTCGATGAGAAATCCTTTGCTGACGTCATAGACAGCATTCGGCCAATTGTGGTAGGCCGACCACAGCGACGCTTTCGTTCGCTCACGTCGCCAATAGATGAGAAACTTAGCCAGTGCAGTACAACCGCTGACCTGGTTTTTTTTAAGTGCATCACGCAGTAGTGATAACACGAAAGCGTGCCGGCACGAAACTCATCCAGAGCGCAACTGGCGGGTGGTGGTGGTAATGGGGGGGGGGGGGGGGGGGGGGGGGGGAAGAAGGGAAGGGAAGGGAGGGAGGGAGGGGGAGGAGGAGGAGGAGGGGAGGGGAGGGAACAAAGAACCTCCTGGGTTCTTTGAGAGCCGATCAAGCAGCGCCAAGAGTGAATCGTCACGGCGCTCGTCGTCTTTGTGCGTTCGCCATCCCCGACTAATCTAAACAGCACGCTGCGATCCTGCTCGTTTTTTAGTTTTTTTTTTCTGTGCGCGCGATAGGTTTAGCGGGTGATAGCTTATTCACAAAGACAACAAGCGCTATGATGACGCACTTCTGGCTCTGCTTGATTGGCTCCCGAGGATCGTAGCGTTGGCTGCGGTCGGTCTTAAAATTACAGGAAGATCCATCGGTGCATTGTTAAGCAATGCGTTAGCATGACCCTTATGAAACGCCACACACGCTCTTTTTTGGGAAACGCTAACGCCGACTTTTTCACTTTTCTTTTTTGACTTTGTCTGTCTTTTTGCTACCTCTTTTTGACCTTGTTACGGGATCAGTGTCAGCGTTTTCCAAGGTTCATCTTAACGAATTTCCCAAGAATCCACCGATGGAACCTAATGTAATTGTTTTTCGCACCCTTTCTGTGCTCTGCTTGTCAGAGTACGTCGACGCCCTTAGATACGGTGATCCGTATCACTAGTGAAAAGAACCGCATCCATACCACTCGTGGAAGGAACCGCATCCATATCACTCGTGGAGGTAACCGCATTGGCATTAAATAAAGACGTTTTCTCAACCCAACTCCATTGCTTTAACTACGCACATCACAGCCCACGCACTGCTACTAAGAAAACCCAGAGCGAAGAACAACCGGCGACGGCAGAGCGGCAACTGAGGACACCCGTCCTCCACCACGCCGCGGCGCAACATCTCCTAGATAACAAAGCCGTAGGGCTGAGTGAAATGGCCTCGTCAGAGAAGACTAATGCTGGACACAGACTGGACACGATGATTACGTCAACGTTCGGCTCAAACTTGACTCAAAGCTGAACGCCGACGCAACGCTCGTTTCCAATGTGTGTCCAACGTAGCCTTTTTCTGATTACGGCTTTGCTATCTAAGAGGTATTGCACGGCGCCTCCGCCTCTCTAATAGCGAGTTCGTTTCACGGCACTCGTGCCCACGCGTGCCCACTCGCAGCGTGGAACGGGTTCGTTTCGACCGGCACTCCACGAGTGGTTGCACTCTCCGAGTTCGTTTCAGCGCTGACACCCCACGCGTGCATGCACTCGCTGCACCGAGAAAATCGGGAGTGCGCCAAAATGCAATCCCGTCATGCCTCGCTCCGGTCGAGCCGGCGAGGAGCGGGAGCAGACGACGAGGGTTCGTCTGCTACGATGTGTCGCGGAACCGAACGGGAAAAAAAGTAGATTTTCTCATAGATATCGCGTCCCGCGGGCCATGAAATCAAACGCGAGCTTGAATTGTGAGCGTCTGCTATTTCCCGAAGGAAGCAATTGACAACCCGTGATTTATTTGCAGGTTTTAAATCGCTCTGTTGCCGCACAAACGCTGAAATATACCAGTGTGTAAAGAAATGCTCAGAACAAACGCAACAGCGGCCCCCGAGATGTCTATCACCATCCGTGTGCGGGTGAAAAATTTAACATTTTTCGACAAAACTCCCCCAGCAGAAACCTCTGACTGCCCAATGAGCATCAGAGAAAGCTAAAGATGGAGACTTTATCCGAGGATTGGGCAACATCATCATGTTTAACATTTACCTACGTCAGCTAACTTACCCCGTCGTATTTTGTTCGAGAAAGCTCTCATTCTCGACGCCCTCGCCAAGGCTAATATCTAATCCTGACGATCCAAATCGAAAGTCCCAGTTTTACTGGATATTCCAACAGGATAGTCTTAAGCCGTACCCTTTCAGTGGTTCACGAATAATACCAAGCTCAAACGGATCAAGCTTCTGCTCGGACAGCATCATCAGTTTTCTTCAGTGTAAACGGTTATAAGAATTGAAAGATCGCAACCAGCTGCTTTGTAGACAGCTGGTTCCCGAAATTTACGCCGTCTGTAATTATCTCTACAGCAGCCTAGCTGCTTGAAGTCATTGCAACTATAAACTACAGGTTGCAGCGACCAACGTTTGTAGATAAACGTTGGTAGCCGACTGCGTTCTCGCATTCCCACGCATCACTCCGAACAGAAAGGCGCTAGTTTCGGTTTGAAGTCGGTACCTTTTCTACAACATAGATGGCGGCAGCGTCAGTCTTCTGCACTCGGTGCATTTGGCGAGTTCGTTTGAGTCCAGTTTTCCGTGCAACACTCTGTGAGTGCGATGCATTCTGGGAGAGAACTCGAACGGTGCCAGTGCGTGTGAAACGAACTCGCTATAACTCTGCGCCGGTTGTGCGCGTGACTGCCGAAAACGAAGGGACTCGTTTAGACGAAAGCCCGGCGGTGTCTGTCATTTTGTCAGCGCCGGGCAGAAAGGGAGAGGTTGACGTCTGCTGACGTCAGCGATTCGGGCCAATGGGAGCGTCGCAGGCGTCGCCCTCTCCCCCTCTTTCTCCCTCTCTCCCCGGCGCTCACAAACGAAAGACACCGCCGGGTTTTCGTCAAAACGAATGTTCTAACACTAACGCATTAAAGTGAAGTATGCGGAGCGCAAGTTCGTCTGCTTCTTTTGCAGGGGATGTGGTTGCGTTAGAACGCCAAAACGTGATTTGACTCTGATAAAAGGATAGTAGGCAGACCTCAAGGCAGCTTGCTTTGGGAGCTGCCTATTATCCTTCGATCAGAGTCAATCAGAGCTCGGCGTTTTGATGTCACAATAACCCCTGCAAAAGAGGCAGACGACCTTGCGCTCCACCTAGTCTCGTCTCGCCAGATTAGCTGACTCTAATCTGATGCAGTCGAGAATTCAGGCGCTGCTATCGTACTTGAGATCGCAAGGCCGCGCGCTGTCAACGATCTGGAAAACGAGTAACTTGCTTTCGCTTTCAAGCGTGTTCTGCTATTGCAGCCGTGGGGACCGGCAAGGAGAAAGTAAGGCTGGTATCTAAATTTTTGACCCACACCGAATCTCATGAGGGGATGTGTGATTGGATTAGTTCGCAGAATTTGAGCGGTGTGGGGTGGGGGCGGACTTTACTGACGGCAGCAAATGTGAGCAGTTGCATTGCGATTGTTTAGCGATAGCTGTCATCTGCAGCCTATGGCAGTGGCTAGATGGACCTTTTTCTAACGAATACGAGCAGGTTTTTTTTTAGAGCGCAGCTCTTAGGCGCCCGTTTCCGGCTTGAGCGGCGTCGCCGTCGCCGTCGGCGTAACCGCGCGGTGCATTATGGGTAAATTTCTCCGCTAAATCTAGCGGAAAAATTTTCCCGCTAAATCTAGCGGAATAATTCCCCGCTAAATCTAGCGGAAAAATTTCCCCGCTAAATCTAGCGGAAAAATTTCCCCGCTAAATCTAGCGGAAACATTTCCCCGCTAAATCTAGCGGAAACATTTCCCCACTAAATCTAGCGGAAAAAATTTCCCCGCTAAATCTAGCGGAAAAATTTCCCCGCTAAATGTAGCGGGGAAATTTAGGCCACGTGACCTGGGAAGTCACGTGACCCCCCTCCCGAGATCACGTGACACCCTCCCGAGGTCACGTGACCTTGGAGGGGGTCACGTGATCCTTTCCCCTATGTCACGTGACCCCCACCCCGACGTCACGTGACCCCCCCCCCCCCCCCCCGAGAACACGTGGCCCTACTACCCTTCCCTCCTCCTCCTCAAGAGCTGCGCTCCAATTCGGCGTTACAGGGAGTTGTAAACGGCTTTCACTTTTCTTCTACACTCTCTTCCTTCCTTTTTCACCTTCTTAGGCGGCAAGGGCCAACCTTGAGTGGAAACAGGTCCTGTCCCTGCAACCACACTAGGGTATAGTGCCCGGGCAGCACTGGTAGAGTAATTGTGTCAGCCAAGCCCATCTTGCTATGGCACATTACCTACTCCCTTGTTTATATGTTTCCTTGAGTAAAGTTCAGTTGCAAGTTGCGCCTCGTCCTATGTGCTTCTTTCTTTGTCCCAGTTTGTTTGTATTTTTTTTTTTGGTATGGGTTTCTCACGACAGCGGCGGTGATCACTGGAATGAATACAGCGTCGCCGGTGCAGTTTAGTGGGTCAGTTTCGCAGACATGGTACCGGTTTCCAGGCCGAAACATGCTCCTGCAGCGATCGTCCTGAAGCGGAAAATATAAAACGATATGAGAGCCCCATTTCCATCCTCCCGATACTTTAGTACCTCTTGGGTATGGCCTGGTCAGATATTTTTGTACGTTGTAACTATTATTGATTTAGTCGTTACATTCTGAAACGAACGCCGAAGACACAAATCAAAGAATAGAGAAAGAGAGAGTCAAAGAGAGAGAGAGAGAGAGAGAGACTTTTTATGCTGCACGCTTTTTTACCATGGCAAGACATATTAAGACTTTGGATTCTGAGTGGCAGGCCAGCGGGGCGACTGCGAACATGGAAGTTGTCACGCATCGAGCTCGTATTGCAACCTTGTAAGTAGGGCTCGGTGATACTTAAAATATTTAGGTCAGTCAGAAGTAGCAGATTTCATGATGAAACCTGGCCGTCCAATCACAGGCACACATTTCTTAATTGCAGGAATTTCGATGGGCCATGAGTGGCCTGCTTCGAAAGGCCTTGGTATCCGGATGGTGGGAGGTGCCACTGGACGTGTCTGTGTGTTGGCAACAGCGTCTCTTCTACTGGCCACATTGTTTTCGGACTCGGCCTGCGGCGAAACTATCGATCAGGACGGGAACATCACAACAGTGTGGGAGCTACCTGGCCTACATCAAGGTAGATCGCTGGTGTGGAACTGTCCATTCACTTGTGCGCGATGGACTGAACTTGAAGTAATAGAAATATTTAATCTTGGAAGGTATCGGTTATTGCAGCAAAACTGTTATTTCCTAGCTCCCCAAAATCGTGTCCCCCGCAAAAAAAAAAAAAAAAAAAAAAATGTCGACACAGCACTTTGGGCAGCTACCGCCATCTATGAGCGACGGCGGCAAGCCCCGGATCTGGTTGCCGCCGTCGCTCATAGATGGCGGCAGCCTTTCCACTCTGGCTTGCCGACTTGCGGCCGGCCATTACTTTCCATTGTACAGCTCCGCCGGTCTTCCTTCTTCACTAGAGTGGAAAGGCTGAAAGTTTTTTTCTAACTTTTTGCCTGAAAAAAAAAGAAGAAAATTAATCAGAGTAAATTTAATTTGACAAGTTGCATATAAAATTAAGATTTTGCAATACTGAAGGGTTGTACATTTTCGGATATTTCTGGTAAAGGCGAAGACAAAACGCTTTGTGTCAGCAGAGAATCGAATTCTCAAAAAGTGGAAAAAGTATAGCTAAGGCAAAATGACCGCCTTTGGTGCATATCCAATTCACCGAAGCGATGGTTCCTTTACATTTAAAAAATATCCGGAAAAGTGCAAAGTAAATTTTACTTTTTTTTAATAACTTTTCATCGATATAACTCGCAAGGTACATGTCTTGGTTCTGACTTTGACCTTCCAAGTAGGTTATAGACTCCCTACTAATGACGGCGGTCACACTCGGCCCTGACAGATGTCACGACAAAGCGATACAACGGAAGCCAAACGCTCGGGCTCTACACCGTCGCTGGAAACAGCAGTGCCGATAACGTGACCGAGTTCTGCGTACCTCCGTCCATCTACGAGTTTCCCGACGACCCTTTCACTCAGCAAGAGCGCCTGCGAGGATGGGTGGCCGTGCATTTCGGCGTTCTCGCCTACCTGTGCTGCATGCTGGCCATTGTGTGCGACGTGTACTTCGTGCCATGCCTGGAACTGCTCTCAAACGGCAAGTTGGCCTATGTTGCCAAACAGCTCGGTGGTGTGTGGTGCAACGGTTGCGTTCCTGCAGAACACGGAAAGAGCCATTCACGGCGAATGAAAAAGGAATCCCAGCGAATGGCGCAGCTCAGAATACGATCCGACCCAAAGATTGCGATATGAGCAGCGTTGATGAGCAGGGACAAGGAGCATGACGTTTCACTCACCCTTTTCCCCTAGGCCCTTTTCAAAAGTCCATCTAGTAACATTGGCGATCGCCATTGCTTGGACGACGTACAACTAGGCTAGGTGGTGCAAGCTTCCGCCCGATATAAAGGGTACAGCCGTTAGCATTAATCCATCCATGGACACGAAGCGCGTGACTAGGGCTGTGTTCCAAATCTTACCCAAATGGATCCGAGTTACTCCGGCGAAGCGTATCACGTGACAGCCCAGATTGAAAACCGCTGGACGCGGGTACGTTTTAGAACGCCAAGGGTACAAAGCCCTTACCCTGGAATAAGATCGAGTAAATTTTGGAACACGGCCTAGATCAGAGTCTTCGTCGAATGCTTACGCAGCGCTCGATTGTGTACAATACGAGCTCAGAGTACGTGATCAATCAATGGCGCGCGGGCAGGCGTTGGCGCGGACTTTTGAAGAGGGCCTATTGTACCTGCTCACACCGCATTTTGCAGGTCTAATCGTAATGCGAGCTTCGTGATTCGCTAGAATGCATTGCTCGAAGTGATCGGCTAATTCTGCGTTCTGCAGAAAAGTAAACTCGGATAAATTTTTTTAGAGTGCATACCCAGTCGTCGGGCGTATAACTTTTGGGGGCCCGCGCAAGTGTTAGCTGCACGTTTGGATAGGCGGTAGGCTGCGGTTCCCCACTTTTTTCCTTCACTTTTCGTCCGCTGGGCGGCGTCGTCTCTTGTGGTGTCGCGAGCAGTCACTGACGGTTTAAAAAGCGCAGGTCGTTGCAGGTTTCGAGAAACTTATTATCACTTCGCAACGAATGAGATTCTGACTTTAGACGATAAAAAGGCAGAACAAATGACCTAATATCATCAACTAGAATAAGCTTAAGCTTGAGCTTATGCTTGTCAGGTTTTTTAAACTGTCAATGACTCCAATCGCTGAACCTTCAGAAACTCAGGGCATGATTTATTATGTACGCGCGTCTTGCTCGTAGGATACGGCTGTGGGGGCGAGAAACGACATCATTATTGATAGTGACATTCAACCATTTTGGTGAGCTTTGCGATCTTCATATAACCGCGTGCGTGCCTGAGGTCGCATGAATTTAAAAAAGGTCACATTTTAGGAACTCCAGTATTACCTTTGTAGAGTTTTCTAGTGATTACAAATCCTAAAATTTTTACTTTCTGGGGTACCTAACTGTATTCGGAAAGAATAAAGTCCTTGCCCCTGTGAAAAATGAAACGGACACACAACTCTCAAAGAGGGGAATACTGTGGTTTCTGAAAATAATTTAATATGGTGGAGCACAAATTATATACGAACGTTTAAAAAGCAATTTTAATTAAAATGTATAAAAAATATCGAAGTCCCGGGTTGGGCAACTTCGATCGAGTGTGGGATTGACGCAGACTCTACAAGATGGCGCCAGCATACCATACTGAGCGTATGTTAGCTCTTTTCAAACGTCGCGCACGAAAAACGGCAGATCGATGAAACGTGTTTTGAGCTCTGTTGGAGAAAAAAAGGTTAAAGATTAACCCAAGTATTAGGTGGTATATTCGCTGAGTTCACCGCGCGAGCGCCGTTGCAGGCAAACGTCAATCTTAGAAACTGAATTAAGCTTTGTCATTTTTTTTTCTTCTTTAGCTGGGTCGTTGTAATACTGTAATATTTAAGTGTCTCTTGGTGTCTTCAAATTGGCCTGGCGCAGTGCTTTAATCTGGAAATTTGTCGCTTTCCGCGGCATGGTCTATGTCCTGTAGGTTTTTCGCTAAAACCGAGAGGTTTTCTAAGTTTTTCTACAGGTAATATATACAGAGCGTTTGCGAGAAAAGAGAACCGGGTTTTCGGGCCCAGGTAAATAAACTGCATCGCAGAAAGCTTGATTTCCGTGAGATTATGACGTTAGCATTTGTGGTAGAACGCGGAAGTTTGAAAACATGACAGTACCTGGATCAAAAACTAATTAAGAAAGTCGAAATTTCTCACTGTGCCTACGTCTATGCTAAATGTAATATTGTCAAAACAAGAAATGACATTGTCGGCGCATGTAACATATGCTTCAGTGAGCAAACAAACAAACAATAAAACAGGCAAACAAACAAACACACAAACAAACAAACAGACTTATCAGCAAGAAAGATAGTGTCACATTCTCACACAGTTTGGGCTTTCTGCGATACATAGTTTATTTACCTGGGACGAAAAACACGGTTTTTTTTTCACAGGAACGCTCGATACATCAACGCAATGCTTGTTCTTCAACAGCTTTGAAGATATCTTCGGACGTGGCTGGCGCTACCGTGATGGCCGTTGGCACTTCGTCTCCGGAACTTTACTCCGCCATTATTGGTAAGGCTTATAATAATATTTTTTGGAAGGAAGGCGTCTCTTTTTGTGTATATACTGTGCCGGCTGTTGGTAGAAACGATAACCACGTTTTCTCACCGCAAAAGGTAAACCACGCATCGTCAAACAGATCGGTCCTCGTACGCGCTAGTGGTTGGGGCAAGGTGCTAAAGTTTTTACAACTTACCGTTATCTGATTCAAAAGTTATAATTAAGTTTTCGAAAATTTTCAATCAAATCTAGTGGCCCGTCACCGGTAGCAGACGCCATTTGTTTCGATGTATTTGGCTTCGTTGGCCGCCATTTACTTGTTCAAAATGTGCCTTAGCTGTTGTGAGAATTCAGACAATTCAAATTCTCTTCCAAGCTATTCCGTCGCAAATTTATGCCGGGAGGAGCCTGAGATTCCGAAACTAGACTGCTACCCAAAAGCGACGTCAGAGTTCGCAGCGTGCGCAGGTAACGAGTCATTAGGGATTTTTAGTTGATCGTTCCGATACCTCCGGTAATGATACCCGAGATACTTTGCCGGTGCTTTTGCGCGTGCATCGTAACGATATCGAGTATCGTTATCGTAGGTGTCGGAATGCTCTTCTAAAATTCCATGGGGAGCCGTATGATAGCATCGGGGGTCACTTGGTAGTACAAAAGTTGCACCATACTAGGATGTCTCCTCAAACGAACAGTTTTCTACCTTTTTTTCCCCCCATTTGTTTTGGTATGGCGCATAGAGTTAGTACAATAAACACTAGAGACTCAGCTGGCGCTAGTGTCTACGGGACTTCCGGTTGCAAATTGAAGCAGACATTATGCAGTCTACTTTTCCAGTCTTCCTGTGTATTCCTGTGGGAAAACGCGAGTGAATTTTGTGTCGTTGCCGGAAAATAACACGAATAACTTTTGTTATTTCGATTATACCGGATAGTATGCACCTTTATTAATATTTTGAAAGTGTAATTGCTTTAGTTACAGCATTTTTCCTTTACCACTGAACGATGCTAAACTTCGCTATACATTCAAACCTCTATGTAACGAAGTGGGTAAAATTCAGAATTTAGTTCGTTACATTGAAATTTCGCTGCATAGAAATTCGGGGTAACGTTAAAGAAAGTTTCCACAAATGTTTCTTGGGGGCACGAAACTCACCGAGGACGCCTCTATTTCGGTTGAAAGTAGTCCATCACCTTTATCTGGGCCACTCTTGGCATTATTATTGGCATCACACGACGTCCGCAAAGCCAGACGGCCTGAATCGCGTCTTCGTTTTGCTGCGTGATCGCGAACCGCCTGAAGACATCGATCGGGTCCACCACTTCACGGTTACTGGGGACATCGCAGGTGTCTTGCTCATCAGGCTCCTGTCGCCCCCGTCTTGCGAGTTCCCTCCACAATCGCTAGCTATCGCCTCGTCGGTCACCTCCTCCGTCGCAATGACAGCGCAGTCGGCATATAGAAAGTCATCCAGGTCCACGTTGTCAGGAGCGGCTTCATCACCTTCAAGGCTCCATCGCCCAGGACAACGAGAAACTTACGCCTTTAGTTAGGCCTCGAAACGAACTATGCAGCGCGAACGAAGCCGACGGATGAAACGGCGGCGGCTCTAGTGTCCTCTCGTAGCCGTTCTGTACACCACACTTGCCAGATTCGGCCCGTTTCACCCTGTGCGCTTTATCGGGGGCCCATTTCAGCGCATGTGCTTCCAAAAATTTCCTTTGGGACCCATAAGTTTGTGACAAATTGTCCACGAAATTTCGTTACATCGAAATTTCGGCCAACCGGACTTCGTTACATGGAGGTCAAAAATACATGGCGCGCATACACTTGTGATTAGAAAACGTTATGTGCTTTGTTACATCGGGGGTTTCGTTACATAGAAGTTTGTTACAACGAGGTTTGACTGTATTTCAGGCCCAAACCTCTCTTCTATGGCAGGTATGTAGAAACGAGCGACGATTCTAAGCAAAAAACGAAATGAATGTAGAGTGTGTTCAAGGTTCGCCGGCATTCCGTAGGTGCATATATATTGCTAATATGCCTGTCCTCTCAGTGCTCTCACTATATGAAAATGACCCCGTCGTGCATCTTTACGAGTGGTTAAAAAAGCGTTCGAAACGTAAAGAATAAAGTACGTGGGCTACGAAAGGTGTGTTTTCTTATTATTTCCTATGTTGAGCAGTTTTTATTGCGCACCTGTTCTCTGGCTTCCCCCTATTTGCAACGATTTGGAGCGTGTTCGTGATGATTTGAACACATAACAAGCATCTTCGCACATATTCATGAGCGGAAGGAATAAAGCAATACTTATTTATTGCAAATCGAACTATATGACGTGACTTTCAATTTATTTTGGTCGCCTGCGAGCACGAGGAGTTACTTATCCAGTGTTACTGCGTAGCTCTTGCCGTCTCTCTTGGTTTTCCACATGTCCTTCGTTCGTTTGGCACGTATGCACCCTATGCTGGGAAGCGTCGACGCTGTGCTCGCGCTAACAGCGTCCGACAGTGCACATAAATACACGTACGAAGCGGCTTTAACACCGTTTTTCATGCCGCGAATTTCAAATAAAAATGCTATAACTGACCAATTATTTCGTCTGCGTGACTGAGAAATCTTCCAATGTGCCTAGTACCGACAAATTATTCGTGATATTTGCTCTTATTATCGAGCGCAGAGAGAAAGTGCACTCGCTTTTTCCGATAGAAATGCATCACCGGAAGTCAATTTCTGACTGCTTGCTGTCTGCTTCAAAATGCAACAGCCCACTAGCGCCACCTGAGCCTTTAGCGTTTATTGTAATAACTCTATGGTAAGGCGCACTCTAAACAGCCTTACTTCTAGCAATTGTTCTAGCATACTTGGGCGACGGGCAACACATCTTCAATTGGAAGGTGTCACATAAGCCGAAAAAAAAACACTAATTAGCGAATCATAGTGAATAAGATTGCTAATTCTACCTTTTCATTTGTACCCTGACGTCTGCCGCGGTAGACAAAGCTATCTCGAAGAAATAATTAATTTATTTAAAGTGTCATTCTTTTCTGAAGAGAGGTAACTTCAGTCGTTGGTAAAATACTCTGAATACCTTCATCAGTTGTTCCTGTTTATGATTTTAGTTAAGGCCTTCAGTGTCAACCCCCCTCCCTCTTTTTCTTGTTTTGTGAAGCCCTCCTGTTTATATAGGAGTTCAAAATAAACTGTATTGAACAAATTACATTCAATTTCGTTGTACGTTTATTATTTAGGTTCATTCGTGACGGAAGGAGACATTGGTGTGGGCGCCATCGTGGGTTCCGCAGTGTTTAACATACTCGGAGTGACGAGCGTCACTGGCATCTACCTTCTCACTACGGTGAGTAAAGTACGTTTATAAATTTCTGACGAAAAACGCTTTATGCCCCCATGACTGTAAGCGGCCCATATCATGAGTTGTCATGCCTTAAGAGCGTGTAATATAACATTCTTTTGTAAAATAGGCATCATGGTTAGTCGTAAAACGTTTTATTTTTACATGTAAAAAAAGATGTCGTCTAATTTAAAACGAAAGCAGTAAATGGCCACCCCGTGAAGAGGTGTTAATGTATAACAAGCTGTTCACACCCAGAAAAGTGTAGTATTTAATGCGCACCGTCCTAAGTTATTTACTAGGCTCTTTGCGAGCGTGCCACATAGTGGGGTGGGGGGGGGGGGGGGGGGGGGCGAGATATCAACAAAACACTCGCGTGACACAGCGAGAATGCCGTAATATGTGGCGTCATTACAAGTATCATCTTCTTTGGACAGTAGAATGATGACGATGCCTTTAGGATGTCACACGCAATCCACATTTACTGATTGGGGTGGATACCTGTTCATCCGAAAAAAAAAAAAAAAGAAATCAGTTCCGTAAGTCTTCTAGGTGCTGAGATCTGCATGCTTGGCGTATGATATGTTCTGTGCCCATCCCTTCTTATCGTTGAGAGCTCATGCATGCCATTTCTTAAGTGGGAATGACTCTTGGATTTTGCAGACGGTGCAGCTGGAATGGTACCCTATCGTGAGGGACTCGCTGCTGTACATAGCCAGCGTCAGCGTGCTGGCCGCATGCATCGCCGACAGCACCGTGTACTGGTACGCACTTAAGTTAAAAAGCGGAAAGACCAAATTCTTCACACATTTGTTATGGTCCGCCATTGGGCAAGATATGGTCAGTGCATGTCGACGTGCTTTCTATTTGAGCTCTGAAACTCTGTCTCGATTTCATTATCTCATTTAAGACGAGAAATAGAATTCCACGTTTAGGGGCTTGCATAGAAAATGTAGAATAGCCCTGTCTCACTAGAAACAATGTGTTCAAATATACTGAGATGCTTTTGGCGAAGGATGTTGGCCTCATAAATATCACAACGCGCTCGTTTGTTGTTCATATTACTTACACACATAACTTCTTTTTGCTAATTTACGTTCTTTTGTAAAGTTAGAAATTTAACGAACAAAGATATGACTGGGCTAAGAAGGCGAGCACGTCGATGAAATTTTACGTTACTAAAAAATAAACATAAGGACGGACACAACGTCGTGTCCGTAACGGTATTTATTCTTCGAGTATCGTTAAAAAAAAGAAGATATGACAGTCATAAGATTGGAAGTATCTTCCTGCTATCAAGGGCTGCCTTTTTCTGAACGACCTTAAATCGCAGGTACGAAGCCGCCGTGCTACTGATGCTGTTCTGCGTGTACATTCTCGTCATGCACTACAACTCCAGACTCAAGCAAGTGACTGTTGATCAGGTGCGAAAAATTCGTCATTTAGGAAGAACGGCATTTACCCTCAGGAGTACTGCAGTGTTGTTCACCGCTGACACTAGAAGGTTAGCAACGACACGCGTGTTTGGTTATCCCATCTTAAGGTGCAACCCTACCGCGCATGACGTTTTGATGCTTTTCCGACGGCTTATAACTTTCTTCCTATGAATTTTACAATTATAAAATTAGTGTCAAATTAAAGATCAGTTTCTCAGTAATGCTTTAATGTCTTGATATCACGATTATTTTAGGTTGTTAATTATTTGGCTTTTAACAGACCACAGTCTCTAATATTGAAAAAAATATTTCTCGAGTTATAACGTCCCATCGTCGACGATATTTTACGTGAGCGTTCGGCTAGATGGTAATAAAATAAAAAAGTAAGCAACGAACTGTACAGATAATGTATATTTTAAAATAAAAATAAAGTTTAAAATTGTAATATTTTATTGCGCTATAAAAACGGAATCACGTGAACTAATCAAAATAACGAGACATTAAATTATGAAGCATCCTTCGACATTACATTTTCCAGAACTTCCATATCGATATATTACGCGTTAAGAATGTTATAAGACCTCAAACTTTTCCCATTCAGTTACGGCGAATTGTAGTTTCTTAATATCAAGTACAGATGGCGACACGTGTACAAGAACAGCTTCATGTGCCTTTTCCGTCGTGTGCCGCTTGGAACGCCACGTGAAAGACCGAAAAAAAAAATTGGGTTGTGTGTGTGTTTATACAGCCTAGAACTTGGTCTGCCTCACAGGGGCGACGAGTCTCCCAGCTGTAGATGAGAAATTTAGCCAGTGCGGTACAGCCGCTAGCCTGGGGTCTTTAACGTGCATCACGCAGTAGTGATACACGACCGCACGCCGGTACGATGCTCATCCAGATCGAAACGGGCAGGGGTGGGGCTCGAACCCAGGATCCCTGGGTTCTGCAGCGCGAGCTTTCGCTCCACGTGCTCCGAGCTGGTGTGCGCTAGATGAAAGACCGAAAAAGCGCCAGATGTCAGGGTGTCAGATGCCTGGATGCCCGCAGTGAGCGAGCCAGAGATGTGAGAACAACAAGCGCGAGGCTGCGGGTGCACCACAGCTACTTTTGCGCGCGTTCTACTGTGCGTCGGTACACATGCCCGACGCGATCCAAATGAAATAGGCGCCATAAAATGCATTCTTCCATTTCAGAATCCGCCACGTATGCGAAAACATTTTAATGTTTTAGAGCGCAGCTCTTAGGCGCCCGTTTCCGGCTTGAGCGGCGTCGCCGTCGCCGTCGCCGTCGCCGTCGGCGTAACCGCGCGGTGCATTATGGGTAAATTTTCCCGAAGGAACCGGAGGTCCTCCCGAGGTCCTCCCGAGGTCCTCCCGAGGTCCTCCCGAAGGAACTCGAGGTCCTTCAGGAGGACCTCGGGTTCCTTCGGGAGGACCTCGGGTTCCTTCGGGAGGACCTCGGAAGGACCTCGGGTTCCTTCGGGAGGGCCTCGGGAGGACCTCGGGCTTCTTCGGGAGGACCTCGGGAGGACCTCGGGTTCCTTCGGGAGGACCCCGGGGGGGGGGGGTCACGTGACGATGACGTCATCAGTGATGATGCCGATGCCGATGCCGATGACGTCATCAGTGACGTCACTGATGACGTCATCAGTCATGATGACGATGGCGATGCGGATGCCAATGACGTACTCGGCATCCGCATCGTCATCGTCATCATCACTGATGTCACGTGACCCCTCCCCCCGAGGTCACGTGACCCCCCCCCCCCCCCCCCTTTCCGAGGTCAACTGATCCCCCCAGTACCCTTCCCTCCTCCTCCTCAAGAGCTGCGCTCAACTTCGGCGTTACAGGGAGTTGTAAACGGCTTTCATTTTTTATCACTTGCATAAATCATTTACGTATCAAACTATGCTTGTCGGAATGGTTCGACTACATTTTGTTTCAAAAACCCCCTCGGTGGCTTGTAACTGTCAATGACATTAAAACGTCTCAGTTCCTCTCAGCCAACGCGCTGGCCTATGAATCTATAGTTGTCGGGTTTAAATATCGGCCGAGGTGCCCGCAATCCGACGGAGGCCAATCTGAGATTTCGGTTGCTCGTCAAAAGATCTACGGTTATTCAAAATAAACCCGCAATATTTTTTTTTTATTTGGGCGTGTTAAGTGTTTTTTCTAGGTTTGGCTTGTGAAACCCTAAGATCTGAATATTTGTTTTTGCTTTACCTTATTTCGGAGCGCAACCAACGCTACGGGCTGATGAAGCCACTGAAGCAGCGCCCAGAGCGCGAAGTTAAGCTGTTCGTTCTCTTTCTGTGCCTTTGCGGCCGGGCTAAACTAGAGCCACTAAATAAGCTACTCTTCATACAGACATGGATGCTTAAACTGATGGTTGTCAGTTATCTGAAGCTTTGTCTGAAATCACAAAAAAACGCTTTTCCGTCCTTCACAAATCTTTAGAGTTGGCGACAAAGCAAAGCAATATTACGTGAGCTTCCTGACACCGAAACTATTGCTGAGGAAGTCGCACTTTTGAATCATGACGACCGGCAGTTGCATTTGATTTGTAACTAACCACCAACATGGCGGCGCCCAAAACGATATCGGGGGGAAAATTGCCGATACTCTAAGTGTAGCTCATTTGGTCTAGGGTGCCTACATGTTTGTCTGTCTCAGGGTGAAGACATCCATTGTTGTCCTGAATCTGCCAGCGCGTGACGCTCTCGCGCACTCGGTACGTGACTTGGGCGGTAAAATGGCGTCTATCCATTAGCCAAAGCTACGCGCTCGAGCTGAGTGACACTGGTATGCGCGCACTTCGAAATGCATGAAGAAAAAGATTGGGCGGAAAAATGGCTGAGATGTCACCACTCAAGCAAAAACGCGCGTGTGCATGAAGGCACTCTAATTTGGTCTAGCTCATAGGATAAATCAAGTGCGGTAGGGGATCGTTGGCCGAGTGTGTTGTGGCACCGCAGATAAGAGCACGTGGAGAAATGCTCGAGTGCGAGCTCCGTTCAAAGCACGGAGCTCCCGCTGTAGAGCGTGCAGGGACTAAATCCCCTCGATGTATTTGCGTTGGTCTTTCAAATAACCTCAAAGGTGCCAGTGCACGAGGCCCGTGTCTCGACCGGCCCTTGGACACAAATGGCGACGCAGCACTAATACATTCGAGTTGCCCGTGTGGCACGCGTGCCACACGGGCAACTCGAATGTCATTTACAACGAATGACATTCATGGGATCAACGAATCGGCTCAAGGTCTGTCGCGCGTGGAACGCCCCACGCTTGGAGTGTCGCGCGCTGATTGTCCGATCCTTCAAATGTCATTCTTTGTAAATGGAATTCGAGTTGCCCGTGTGGCATTGGCACCGTGGGCTCGGGTATATAATGACTGGCCCTTGAAAGCGAATGGAGGCGGAGCGCCCGCTCGTGGCACGTGTCTTGCACGTTTTCACAATAATGGTTGGCGGTACTTGTAAAAAACGCCTTTATCAAGGGGCTTTAGCCGGTACCCTGGGTTCAGTCGCCCATCTGCATCCTACCGTCGTGCGATCGTGTATCACATATACTGCGTAATGCACGTTAAAGACCCCGAGCTAACAGTTGCACTGCACTTTTTGTAACCTTCATCGGGTAACAATGTCGTCCTACGAAATTGCTGCTCTCTAAAAAACTAACGACTAATTTTGAATGTGCCGTTACATCGCATTTTTAATGTGTGTTCGCGTTCTTTTTTATTTTTATTTTTTTTGTCCACATCTTTGATTATGTGGCTCTTACTTATAATGAAACAGACTATAGTTGTCAGACTTCTGGAAAAATATTATACAACTAAGAAAATGGCACGTGAACGTAAAAGTAAAAAAAAAAAATGAAAAACGCATAGGCGCATTTAATAAAAATAATTGAAATAATACAATTGATTATAATTGTGTTTTCAAAGGTTTGAGCGCCCCAAACACTATAAAAGCGAGCTGGGTGCTTTGGATGGTGCGCTTGTTCACTGGAAGTGTAGTTCAGGACAGTGTGCTCGCACTTGTATGTTCCGCTTCGCTCGCAGGACAAAACCAAATACTTTATTAGTAATGTATTTAGTTAGACAAAGCTTACCTTCTGTGTATGTGCAATGCCCTCAGTTTTCGCGTGATTACACGCTTGTTTATCATTATTGTTTTCGTTTCCCACAGCGATTCAGTTCGTGCTCTTTTGTGTGCTACATGAATTATTAGAGACCAACGTAACCCAAGAGCATTGTTTTTCGCGGATTCTAAAAAAAAAAAAAAAAGCTATGCAACTTGCCACGTGTGCCACAACCAATAGAAAATATTCTTAGCTTCACATATGACCGCTTGCCTAACTAAACATTGTTGTTTGTCAAGAACAATTGCGATCGTATAAAATCACGTGGGAAAAACTCGTTCTAAGCGCGCGACCGTTGGCATGCAGTGAATACTCATAATCGGCGCCGAGATGATTGGTGGCCATCAGCAGGTGGAGTTTTTCTGCCAACCCAGAGTTAGAATGATTCCTTCTTTCTGTTGTAAGCAATCAGAAGACAACTTGCACCAAATCTGAGGGTAAGAAATCACTATGAGCATTCAAACACAATGGCTTGAGCAGTATATGTGTACAAGCTTTAGCATTTGATGCACCCTTAACTATCGACACTATCTACGCTAGTGTAAAACGTAGGGCTGTTTCATTCTTAATCAGCGTACCATGTGCGTGCTTACACAATATTTTATATAACGTCAAAGCCTACCCGTTTGTATCGTTTTCATTTTTGCACACCACTACTTGCGCGCGTGAATCACTAAATTAAGACTGTCAGAGGATGTCACAAAAACAATTTACAGTTTTTTTTTTTACCGCAAAAATAAATTACGCATTGCCTAACGCTCATTCTCCTCCCAAAGGTGGCGCTAGGTCACAACCAGATGCCAAAGTTTCATCCCGAACGGACACCTTATTCAGAAGTTATAAGTGATTTTCTGAAAATTCCAATGGGAAAAATGGAGCCCATTTTGGCCTGTTTTTCGTTTCTGGTGCCCATAGAGCCCCATGTATCTGAAAACTCCGTCGGCCGCTATTTTCCCATTGAACTGTTCAGAAAATCACTTATAACTTTTGAAGAAGGTGCCGTATTGGGCTGAAACTTTGACATCTGGTTGTACCTCTAGCGCTACCTATGGGCGGGGAATGAGCGTTCGGCGATGCCTAGTTTATTCTTGCGGTAAAAAGAAACCCTGTATTTTTTTCTTTTGTGACAGCCTGCAAGTTGCTTAAACTATGTGCAAAAGTTATCAACAGACCCAGAATCTTTGCATGGTCAGTCATTGCATTTATCACCGAATTCATATTAAAATTAATAATTATTTTTTATTGCTGTGAGTTTATTTTTAACCTCGGAATTTTTTATTATATCCCCCGCACCAGTCCTACTTTGGGTTTACCAAACTCAACATCTAAACCTGAGTGTCATTTTTTGTGTTTTCCACTCTCGTGGTTTGGGTCAAAATAAACACCCAGCTACCTAATCGAGACACCTGACCGCCCAAAAAATAGTCTTTTTGTTTAGGTAGTTATTTCCTCAAGCTAGAATTTTGGAAACCAGACTATGACGTCATCACGTTTTGCTGGAAATCCACAAGGATCCAAACACATGCATGGTAAAAGGGCCGGCCCGTCATATTGCCGCCCGCAGAGCCGAGAAAGCGACGCTTGGTCACAAACTTTTGGAAGATTCGCGTTCATTCTTGCACCAGACGGAACTTTCGCCCTGTTTTCTTGTCCTCGAAAGTGCCAGTTCATCCTCGACCCCAACGCGCGACGCTCGAACCTTCTTTGCCGAACTTTCGAGATGGCGACGTGACGCACTCTAGATAAGCAGCTGCCAGCGACCTTGTCGAGTCAGTCTCGCTCTCGCTCTTTGTTACGCTGCCGAATCGCCGCCTGCTTTTCTGCTGCCTCGACGCTCTTTGTTTACTTTTTTTTTTACATGTTCGCCGATTAATCATTTATTTTTCAGTTCACTGTTCGTCCTCTCGTCACCTTCATTCGTGTCAGTATAAATCTGATCACAATGTAATCTGTGTCATTGGAATCTGAAATCTCCGATAACAGCGCACAGGAAATTTTATGTTTTTCAACGCGTCGGTAGTTTGGTTGTGCATGTGTCTCGCCATTTGGCTCAGGACGATTTTCGCGTTTTGTTCTGCCCACATTTGCTGGAGACGTGAGCTCGGAGCGTGGCAACTGGCCCCCTTGCACGAGAACTGGCGCAGCCGTGCGCGTTCCACAGAAAGCTCGTGCAGAGAAAACCAAGCAAGGGACCAGGGATGTCAAATTCTGGATATAGAAGAATATCCAACTTTATCGAAGCGCCACCACACACAATTTCTCGCATTGATTTACAGGCCTGGAAGGAGATCCTACCGCCATCTGTTGGTTCAGAATCACATTAACGAGGGGTGGGGCTGCACCTTAATGTAACAGTCACATACAACATGGAAAAACCGAGGCGAGCGCGGGGTTCAGAAGGCCTGTCGCGCTATCTATCAGAAGAAAGCTCAACTATTATGGAGGCTTCAGTGGCTATTAAATTCTTGTTGTCACTCCCCTCTTTGATCAGCTGTTGCTGAGTTAAAATTGATTTGCGCCAGAAGTCAAAATCAAGTGTGGCTGAATCCATCGGGTGGGTAAGTTGAGCGATCAGTTTTCCGGCGTTTGATAGTACTACCGGCAAGTTCGCGGGATAAATTATGATATGCGGTTTTTATTTTACTTGACCGAGCAACTATACCACTATCTGTGTTGACCGATAGTGGTAGTTAAGTAGACAAGTGGCAGAAATTGTTTGCCGACCAAGTGGGGAGTAACGACACAAATCAAGCAGCCACTGAAATGCCGCTCGTACACACAATAGCCTCGATGATAACTCGGCTTTCTTCTGTTAGATAGAGAGCACTGGAGGTCTTGGGAGCCACGCGCTCACCTGTGCTTATTCATATATATGAATGTGAATGAATGCAATATGAATGCTATGTGTATCAAGATACTCAATGAAATTTGTATTATATCTTATATCAAGATGACAGCCGATTTTAAGATCAGAACGAGTAAGTGCCATCCTCTCACGTGCCCTAAAAATATTTTGACATTGTATATACTGTCTAAAATAGAGGCGTTGCTCTTTCTAGGACCATAAGGGTAGAGTCTGTGTTGATTCATCTTTAATATATGTCTTCTTGCCGTTGAAGTATGTTTTTTTTTTTTTTAATAATTTTCAGTTTTTCCGTTAAGTAACGCGAGGCTTGGAAAATTTGGAAGACCATTTTGAGTAATGAAATGCACTGTCTCCAGGAATTTAATCGACAAAATTTGCGCGTACTTTGGGTGAAATACATTTTCTATATGCTTGCTGCTGTAAATTGTAAATTTCCGTTGTCACGTGCGGGTTAATAGTGTCGTGCACATGTTCCCCCGGGCCAAAAACATACAAACAAACAAAAAAAAGAAAAACGATTATATTTTAACTGCTGGTATTTGTGCCTCACTTGCACAGAAGACCAGCGATCATGAACGATTATGTCCTCTTTTTTTAGCACCCTCTTTTTTGACGTGGTGGTGGCCTTAATGCGACAAATGCTTTGCCCTATTCCGGTACTAAGAACGCGTGCTGCATTACCTTCCATGAGCCTGAAGTGCTGTTCGCTGAAAGAGAACACATGTCACATAAATGCCCGAGTGGATGGGGGATGGCTCTGATCACTGCGAACCTGGTGGTTGGTAGTTGAAGTAAAGTCATAGGGGGTAAAGCGCGTATAAGCGCCACCGGTGTCGCGGCGTCCGGATCAAGCACTGGGCTGCAGGCTATACGATTGAAACAGGCGTTGCCAGTTCTAACTCTGCTCTTGAGCGCGTCAGTGGTTCCGACAACTATACCACCAGTCTCAAAACAATCCGAGACAAAGCACTTTAGCGTTTTAATCAAAGCCGTTCTTATTAATTTGAAATACAAGAAGTTATTTAAAGGGGGGAGAGAGGAGGGGGGGGGGGGGTGCGGTCTGTGTTCGCGATAACAGTGTCGCGTGGTGTGCTTTATTTGGACACTACTAAAGTTTAGGACAGGTCTTCTGCGCATTTCGCGTCCTTATATATTCTTTCTTTTTCGTACACGGCCAGATGGATCGGTTGATTCGCTGCATCAAATCCAGAATGATCAAGAATGGGGAGAAAAACAACTCCAAAGTGGTTTCTCAGAAGGTTAACATTGCCCCAGCAGAGGTGATGTCGCTCCTGCTTCCGTCGGAAAAAAACGATGCATCCAGGAACACACCGGACACGACAGGTAGCCATGAAAATGGTTGTCTTCAACGTCGCAAACTGTGCGGCGAACAGAGCTTGAAGCAGGGACCAACGCTCGAAGTTCCTTTAACAGGTTCTACCGGCTACCGGGTCGTCGTTATGGACCCCAAGACAGGTCAGCGATGAAACAGTTTATGGTTTTCGTGACGTTGCACGCGACGTGTAAGCGATTTAATGCGACTCGGATGTTTTTTTTTTTTGTTTTTTTTTGAAGCGTTGCATGAAATGACATTTGAGCAACCTAAGCTATGAAGCTCGAGGCAGTCACAACAAAAAAGCACAAACAAAAGCAGCGTTCTAAAGCATGTACTTTCTGTTCCCCATCATTTGCATTGCGTGCGCGCGTGCGTGTGTGCTTGTGTGTGTGCGTGTGTGTGTATGTGGGGGGCACAGCTGTGAGCTCAAGGCTCTAGACTTCCACTAGGTAGTAGTTAGAAAGCAGGTAGTAGCAAGATAGTTAAGGTTGATTTCCCCAAGAAGAATCTATAAGGTCATATCTTACAAACATGCTTTATAATCACTCAGATCAAGGAAGCAGACTTGATAACTCTGTAGAACAGGTGTGAAATTACCTTTTAGCAATAAAAAAAACAAAAAAAAAACAGAAAACAAACAAAAAAAAAAACATGAAGGGCTAAGGGTTTGGGACTGTGGAAGAAAGCGGGCTCTTATTTTCTCGTCTCCTGAGAATACTCCTTTTATATGTGCTTTGGAACATTTAAGAATTTTGACAGGATATCTCGTTGCTCTTCTCTCGTTCAACCTGTGGGTTCTTTGGCTCGAACAAGACAAGACACTCGCAGAGAGGCAGTTTGCTTGTTTTTCGTGTCTTTGCCGCATTGTGTTTCTTTGCAATCTAAAAAAAAAAAAGAAAAAAAAAAGAAGCCTTATATTATTTATTGAATGAATAGCGGCAAACTTTGATATTCAGACATGGCATTGCTTTAGCATGTCAGAGAGGAAATAGATTCGCTTCAGTGTTTACCTTTTGTGTGTTAAAGTTCGGGTATCGTACTACTAAGCAGACAAACAATGAATACTGCTGACAGGAATGCCAGCTACACCCTGATTGCAACATTCCTTTACGCTTCCGCGTCACGAAGGGACCCCAAAAGAACATGCTCAGCAAGGAGCGGCGTGAAAGCTTGCTCGGGTAGCCAGAAAACTGTTTCTGTTATGTTGATGAGAAGTGTTTCTTTTTTTTTTTTTTTCTCGTACTGTAAAACAAAACCATGACAAAAAAAATATATATATCAACAACAAAGAAACCAGTTGTTCTTGTCTTGTAGCTTGTTGAGAAGTTAATGCACTTTACTTTTTTGTATCTGTGTTCATTTTCAGATCTCGAAGACACCAGCACAATCACGGAAATTAAGGTCCCGGCCTTGGACCCTTCTACGTCGGCGAAAGGAGAGCGTAACTGGATGGAACGTGCCTGGTGGTTGGTGATGCTACCAGCCTCGGTTCTGCTCTGCCTGACGATACCCAACTGCAAGCGGTGGCCCAGGATGTACCCGCTCTCCTTCCTCATGTCCGTCGTGTGGATCGGGCTGCTCTCATACCTCTGCGCCTGGATGGTCACCGTCATTGGTGAGCAGACTCGGCGTCTTATTGCGACGAGCACACGCGGGACATCGAACTGCCGCAAAAAAAAAAAAAAGTTACCTGACGAGTATTTAAGGGCTTCTCAAGTTGAACAGTTATGCGGGTAACTTTAGCTCTTCACAAACCAGCACGTATAAAATTGTGCGCCTGTGCTGAACTGCTTCTGATAACTTTGATTCACTGTGGAGGTAACACTAATTGCCGCGCTATTTGATAACATGAGGTATCGAAACTGGGAGATAAAGTTGAGTTTCTTGGGATGCATAGGATCAATGCATTTTGTTACCATGTGTAGGAGCCCGCAACAATGGCCGCAGCACGCAGCTCGGGTCACGAGCTCCGTGACGCGGGTCACGCGCAAATTAAAAACGTGCGGGCAGTCGGAGCCCGAGCACCAATCGATTCGGTCGTGTTCTTTTCCCCATAAATGGTGACCCGGAATCTGAAGGCTCCCCCTCGCCTTCTCTAGCAGCCTCAACCAACATGGATCAAGGCAACGCTCACACCGGCGACGGCGCACCGCTTCAGTCCTCTGACGCCAACCTCGCAACTGTCAACTTGCGCCTTCCCCCTTTTTGGCCGAAAAACCCGCGAGTTTGGTTCACCCAAGTCGAGCCGCAGTTTCATCTTTGGCGCATCACTACCCAGCTCTCACGATTCTACCACGTCGTTGCCTCTCTGCCTACAAACGTGGCCGACGAAATCGACGACGTGCTGACGGAGCCACCGCGTGAGGACGCATACGATCACTTGAAAAGCATTCTGCTCGAACGAACAACGGCATCGGAGCGGTCACGAATCCAGCAACTTCTGACTGCCCAGGAGCTAGGAGATCGCCGCCCATCACAACTTCTCCACCAAATGGTACAGTTGCTGGGTCCCCAAGCCACCGATTCCCAATACCGTATACTGCGGGAGCTCTTTCTTCAAAAACTTCCGCAAGGAATGCGCATGGTTCTTGCAGCTGCCGACGACATGCCGCTAGATCGCTTTGCCACGCTGGCGGATCGGACTGCTGAATATTCAGCCCCTTCTATTGCTGCTGTGGCATCTCACGAGCCTCACGAGCCCCAGGCCTGGCAAGCAACAGTCGCCGAGATCAAGGCAAGCATAGCAGAGCTTTCCTGCGCTGTTGCCGCCATGAAAGCGTCGTACGAAAGACCTCGACAATCCAGGCGCGGCTCCCCTCACGCCCGTTCATCCTCGCGACGAGGCTCGCGGTCAAGCAGCAGAGCCCTGTGCTGGTATCACCGGCGTTACGCGGAACGGGCCACACACTGCCATCAACCATGCTCCTGGTCGGAAAACACCGAGGCCCGGCACTAGCAGCGGCGAGTGACGATGACCAACAGTCAAGCCGCCTTTTCTACGTTGTTGACCAAATCTCTGGTCACCGCTTCTTAGTGGACACCGGGGCCGAAGTGAGCGTCTTGCCTGCGTCACCACTTGACCGTCAGCAAGTGAAACATACCGCGCCCCTACGAGCCGTTAATAGCTCGGCAATTTCCACTTTTGGCCAGAGATCCCTAACCATCGACATAGGACTAAGGCGACTTTTCCGGTGGGTCTTCGTTGTCGCGGATCTCCGTCAAGCCATATTGGGAGCGGACTTCCTGGCAAACTTTGGCCTTGCCGTCAACATCCGTGGCAGAAGCCTCACCGATGCCACCACATCCTTGACCATCCAGGGTATCCTGTCGTCATTCAACGCTTCCCCGATGCGTCCCCTGGCGACGACGTCGAGGTATGAAGCCCTCCTCACAGAATACCCTGCCATAACCCGGCCCTGCAATACGGAGGTACCAACCAAGCACGGTGTGACACATCACATCATCACCAGTGGCCCGCCCATCTCCGAGCGTCCTCGCCGCCTATTTGGCGAGCGACTAAACATCGCGCGTCGAGAGTTCGAGCATATACTGGAGCTCGGATTCGTCCGCCCGTCTTCCAGCAACTGGGCGTCGCCACTACATATGGTCCCGAAAAAGGACCCGAATGACTGGAGACCCTGCGGGGATTATCGAGCTTTGAATGCACGCACGGTACCTGATCGGTACCCTTTGCCAAACATTCACGATTTCTCCGCTGGGCTGGCTGGTACCAACATCTACAGCAAGGTTGACCTGATAAAGGCCTACCATCGTAGAGCTAGCGGACGTGGCCAAGATTGCCATCACTACTCCGTTCGTACTTTTCAAATACGTAAGGATGCCCTTTGGCCTGCGAAACTCCGCTCAGACGTTCCAACGACTTATCAACGAAGTCACCAGAGGACTTCACTTCATTTTCGCGTACGTTGACGATATCCTCGTGGCCAGCACCTCTCCGGAAGAACACGAGCAACACCTGCGACTGTTGTTCGACCGGCTGCAGGAGTACGGTCTCGTCATCAACGCGAAGAAGTGCGCTTTCGGCGTTGATGCGCTGGACTTTCTGGGCCACCGCGTTACGTCAAGGGGCATCTTACCACTCGCAGAATAAGTCCGGGCAATCCGCGAGTTTCCCCAACCCACGTCACTTCGCAAGCTTCGCGAGTTCCTGGGCTTGATCAATTTCCATCGAAGATTCATTCCGCACTGTGCTGAAATGATTCAGCCCATGACGGATCTTCTTAGAACCAAGAAAGGGCCATCATCAGCAGTTCCATGGAACGCAGAAGCTGCGTCTGCTTTTTTCCAACGTTAAAGAAGCCTTGGCCAATGCACCCCTGCTTTTCTATCCGCAACCTGGAGCCCCCACCCGTCTCATGACTGACGCCTCCAGCACTGCTGCCGGCGCTGTCCTGCAACAGATGCTTGACGGCGAGTGGCGAACACTTGTATTTTTTTCCCAGAAACTGAAGCCCGCCGAAACACGTTACAGCACGTTCGGACGTGAACTTCTTGCGGTATACCTGGCTGTCAAACATTTCAGGTATATCCTTGAGGGTCACGAGTTTTACATCCTGACGGACCATAAGCCTCTAACGTATGCTTTCCATGGCAACCACACCGCCTACTGCTCCCGAGAGATACGACAACTTGCTTTCATTTCCGAGTTCACGGTTGATCTCCGCCACGTAAAAGGCAAAGACAACTCAGCGGCGGATGCGCTCTCCCGTGTCAACGCTGTCTCGGCAAGTCGTGGAGCTGTCGATTTTGAGAGCATTGCTGCCGCACAACGAGATGATCCGGAGTTGCTTGCCCATCCTGACAAGCTGAAGTCTTTGGTACTCAGGGAAGTTCCTCTCCCTCATTCTAACGGTACCATCCTCTGCGACGTGTCTACCAGCAGTCCTCGACCTCTTGTTCCGCTAGCTCTTCGTCGGAAAGTTTTCGACGACCTCCACAACATCAGTCACCCAGGCATCCGAGCCACACAGCGCCTCATAACAGCTCGCTACATCTGGCCTACCATCACCGCGGATGTACGTGGCTGGGCACGAACATGTCTGCAATGTCAGCGCTCTAAGGTGAGCCGGCACACGGTGACTCCATTGGTACCGTTCCGCTCTCCTTCTGCACGGTTCGACCATGTGCATGTTGACATTGTGGGTCCACTGCCTCCATGCCGGGGATCTACTTACATCTTGACTTGCGTTGACCGCTATACCAGGTGGCCCGAAGCTATACCCCTACCCGACATCACTGCCAAGATTGTCGCCAGGACGTTTGTTGAGGTTTGGATCGCCCGCTTTGGCTGTCCATCCACCGTCACTACGGACCGGGGACGGCAGTTTTAGTGCTCGCCTTTTGCCGCTCTAGCCCAGCTCCTAGGAGTTCACCATGTGCATACTACCGCCTACCACCCCTCGGCTAACGGCATGGTAGAAAGACTGCACCGACAAGTCAAGGCAGCAATTACGGCACGAGACGGGCGGCTCAACTGGGTCGATCACCTACCATTCGTCCTCCTCGGCGTTCGATCCGCGCTCAAACTAGACCTCGGATGCACCGCAGCGGAACTCGTCTATGGCTCGACACTTAGACTTCCTGGTAAATTTTTCAACAGCAACAAAAATTCCCAAACTGTCCCATCCCAAACGTACTTGGACAACCTGCGAGAGCTCATCCGAGAGCTTCAACCGACACTACCTCGATATCCTGATTCTCAGAAAGTCTTCATCAGCCAGGAGATCCAAACACGCACACATGTTTTCATCCGCAAAGGAGGCAGCAAGAAAAGACTGACTCCGCCCTATGATGGACCTTTCAAGGTGCTCAAACGCACCGAGAAAACCATGACTCTAGACGTCAACGGACATACAGAAACCATAGCGATGGACAGACTCAAGCCTGCATTTGAAGAATTTAAGGACCAGTCTCCATCCAGAGAACACCTACTGTCTCTGCGAGCCAACAAGACCCCTCCCACAAGAAAGCGCGTCTCATGGGCCACATAGCTCCATATAGCTTTTCTTGTACTTTAATGCAGAACCGAATCTGCTCATTATTTTTCTTACTTTTTTTGTTTTTGCAAGCATGGGATCTATTAGTTTTTCTTCTACGATCCATGCTACCAGGGGGGGGGGGGGGGGGGGGAGCCCTGTAGGAGCCTGCAACAATGGCCGCAGCACGGAGCTCGGGCCACGAGCTCCGTGACGCGGGTCACGCGCAAATTAAAAACGTGCGGGCAGTCAGAGCCCGAGCACCAATCGATTCGGTCGTGTTCTTTTCCCCATACCATGTCTTATCAAATTCTACCCTAATGAACGTAAATACTTCCTAATGCGTCTTGTAAAAGCAAAAAAAAAAAAAAAAAAAGAAAGAAAAAAGAAAGGGGGCGAGGGAGAGCGGTTTACGTGTAAAACTGACAAAGAATACCTAGCACGCCCAAGTGGAAGATTGGAAATTCATTTGTACCAACCCGGAAATATTTTCACATGTAGCCCAAATCTCGGTTAGACGGCGCCTTCTCTGCAACAAGCTTCCGTCAGGATCCGTTCACTTTGGCGGAGCTTTGAACCCGCCAACCTAGGATCCGTATTCCGGTGCTTTAACCCAAAGCCACCGAGGCGGCCAATTTATCTTGTGAAAATAATCTTATAAAAAAGCGAAGAACAAAATAAACTTTCGGCGGGCATTTTTTATTTTGCAATGAAAGTTAAGCATTTTTTTTAAAGGATTTGGTGTTACGGCTCGAACCATGTTAACAACATTACTTCAAAACTTTCCTAATGACGTTCTCAGTATCGTGTATGCCGGCCTTACTTTGCGCAATAGCGAGTGTATGCGCCGAGAAATTTAGGGAGAGGAGGAGTCGCGACCTCGCAGGGACGTCAGAACGCCGAGCTCTGGTTGGAAGGATTAAGGGTATAGACCTAAAGCTAATAAATAGCCTTTGTCTCCACTGCACTCGTCGAAGGAGTTAAAACGCGGAGCGCCGGCGTACAGCATTTGGCCTTCGCTCTGGAACGCGTTCGACGAGTGCCGTGGAGACAAAGGTAGCTAACTTTAGGTTTACCTATCATTCGTTCGAACCAGAACTCGGCGTTCTGACGCGCTCTCGTCTACCCTTGTCCCTCAGTTGCTCGGCGCATTGACGGTAAGCAAAAAGCATCTCTACCTCAGAAGTTAAGAGTCTCTGATTTCATATCATGGATTATTATCCTCTTGGATTCTCCTCACGAAGTGCAATCTAAAATACGCGAAAAAATGTCGTCCTGTGTGTTCATTTTGCTAAGAAGTTCGGAGCTTGTGACACCAAATTAATTTGTCCCGCAGTATAGTTAGCAACTGCTGCAAATGACCCTTATCGTGCGCTTTGCTCTGTGCAGGCTACACACTAGACATACCAGACTCGGTGTCCGGACTGACCATCCTGGCAGCTGGCATAAGCGTGCCCGAGATCATCACCAGTGTCCTCATCGTCAAGATGGGTGAGTCACCGTTGCCGCAGAACTGTTTTACAAACATTCTAAGTATAGTTGATTGGAACCGACGCGGGGTATGGTTAACGTATGAGAGGAGAATCTATAGTATTTCGGCGTGCATAAAGCGTTTTAAAAACCAGAATGGACCGTAGTTGTTGGGAAGAGGAGTGGTCTCTCTAGCAGAAAAACAAGCTCTTTAAAAATAGCTAAAATAGAAAGATTAATAAAAAAAAGTAAATTGATAAAGAGGGTAGTGTTTTCACGCCCATTCGATAGACCGAGAAAAACTGAGCACCAATTAATTGTATACAATATTTGATCTAAATTTTGATGTAAGTTATTTTAACTACTTGGGATTTATTTTTTAATGGTTGGTAAAAGAGTATTTAATTGTCTTACTTGCGAACGTAAGTAAACTGGAGATCAAAGTGATCTTGAGATTTCCTTACCCCTTGTCGAAAGTGATCCTAAATGTCCTTAAAAAATGAAATTAAAACTCACAGTTTTACAAGACGATACCGGGATGTAATACGAATGGATCTAGAAAAGATTGTTGAGGTTTACGGACGCAGACGTGTTAAACGAGGGAAAAGTTCCAAATATGCATATACATGTTTTTAATACGTCAGGCGAGTCCAACTCTTATGCGTTCAGAACACGTTCACGTTCAGAACACGGACACTCACTTCTAAATTCTCGTCAGGTATAAAAAAAAAAAGTTCTGTCGAAAGCGTTGTGGGTCGGTTTTTGTTCGCATTCAGGCAAAAATGAGCGCCATTAACACATAAGAAGAGTCGGAGGCAATTGCGGCTGAACGCTTAAAAACATCAGGCACGTACCCACTTAGGAAGCAGTATAGGACCCTTCTCTGTACGCGGTGAGAATTCAGAACAACAAGAGAAGGGTGTTCTATTCTTGCTCATATATATTAGGAAACTGAAAGGGCCAAGGCATCAAAGAGCAACCAACGGAACAGGAAGTACCTTAGGATTCTAAAATGCCATATATAACATAAAACATCACCCACAAAGTTATTGTAATTTCAGCCGTTCGGTTTGTTTAACGATTTCTCGCAATGGTTTAACGAATCTGCCGGCCGAGATTCAATCGCGAGTCAACGTAACACCTCGATCGACGCATCGCCATCATTGATACACGAGTTTATTATTACACATCCAAGGAAAGGAATTACGTCGTACAAAACTTGTCTTCGCTCTAGTTTCCGTCTAGTGTTTGCAGAATTAGGTGACATACAAGGGGGCTCACTTGAAGATAGATACTACTGACGATGCAAGAAGACTTATATATTATTCTGCTATTTACACCCCGTTTCATCTTTCGATGGACTATAGCGGACGCTACAAGCGATCCTATAGCCGATCCATCGCCCTGAACCCCTCACATGACTTCGCGTTCCGCGCGTCGCCTCTCTCCTCCCGAGGTTCACGTGGCACTTACGCGCGGCATTGGATTGGCTAAGATCGCTTGTAGAGTCCTCCGCGGTCCACCGTAAGATGAGGCGGAATTTAGAACCCGAGACGATGAACTGAAGCCGGCATTTTGAAGAGCCTAAAGTCCGGCAAGATCGGCGTTCAAAGGGACACGGATAATCGCTCAACTTGTCAAGCAGCCTTCACAGCATGCCGTTTTGCCTTCTGCGGTCTATGTGTTGGTCTTTGGCTTGTAAAGCCAAGCTTACTATGTAAGTAATCTTCAAGAAACAAAAAAAAAAAATCATCGTCTGACACGGATGGGTTAACGCCCCGGGTGCAGAACTAAATATATAATAAAAAGTGGAAGTCCATTATAAGAGTTAGAAACCATTAATCTTTCGAGTCATATAGGCTACGGTCCACGGGCGAAATTGCCCGCGTTAAAAGGGGGTCCTCTAGCACGAAAAGATGGAGTCGTTCGGTGTTCGAACTAACGCGCAAATACACACGCGATAGAGGCTGCGAGAATAGAGAAACAAACAATAAGAGCTTAAAAAAAAAAAAAGAAACCAAATATGTTTTTAGATTGATTTGTTTTTATTATATTTTCCAAGAAACCTCGCAGCCTTTTGGGGCGGCTGTATGACGATGATTCCGGAAAATATTTATGGCTTCCGCAAGTGGCCCTGGTTTTGTTTCCAGCTCGTTGAGTTTACGAGGAACGCGCAACAAAGTGATACAATGCAAGTCGAAAAAGAAATAATTTTATTTTGTTGTTGAAGGCAGAGTGCTTTGAGATAATTCTCCGTGACCGCACCGAATGAGTAATGATGAGGGCTCACTATACACGCGGACATTTTTTTCTGACTCTCTTTTTAATGAGTGCTCTCCCGAAGACATTTCTTGATGTTGAAAACGTGCCGGCTGCCCGCGCGTGAAGCGCACGCATTGGCGAGCAATCGTCTCCGGCGGTTCTTTCTGAGCCATCTCCATTATGGGATGCCAAACCGATTTATGTGTGCGATTGATCCCCAGACAATTCCCTTCGGTCTTGACTTCGTCACCTTTGCATCGAGCGTTTGGCGTCTGGTGAACAGATGCCAATCAGCTTCTCCAACGTACTAATGAGATGCACTGACCGTGTGGGAACCACGGAGCGTCTCTTTCTAACGGCCGGAATCCAGCACGCGCTTTGTGCCTTCCGAAGTGCTTTGGATGCGCGCCCGCGTTTCTGCTGCACGAGACACCGAAGCATTGTGGAAGCTCGCGCTATAGAGGCGAGACAACGCGCCGAGAAATTGACGGAGGGGAAAGGACGAGAGCGCTCGGGGATGTCAGAACGCCGAGCTCTGGTTGGAAGGATTAGTGGGTAGACCTAAGGCTAGCCGCCTTTGTCTGTAGAACGCGGAATGTCGGCGTTCGGTGTATGGCCGGACGTCGGAACGCGAAACGCTGGCGTCCGGCGTTTGGTCCTCGCGTTCTAACGCGTTCGGTGATTGCAGTGGAGACAAAGGCAGCTATAGTTTTAGGTTTATTTACTACTGCTGAGACCGGTTATAACGAAGTCGGTTATAACTTACAACAAAGTAGCGGATATAGCGAAGTGCTTTCCGATTCCTGTCGACTTCGTTATAACCGATCTCGACGGTATACCAACCAGAGCTTGGCGTTTTCATGTCCACGAGCGCTCTCGTCTCCTAATCTTCCTAAGTTATTTGCCGCGTTGAAGCTCCTCCTTGCCGTTCTCACCTTATCAGCGCTATTGCTCTTGTCACGACGACCGGTTTCTGGAAAATAACCTGCTCAAATATCTTCTATGAAGGGGCGAGAAATGACACATAACTTAGGTTAGCGCATGATCAGATAGCACTGTAAAGGGAGCCTACTCGCGCTCGCGCGTTAGCCTTTGCAACGCTTTCTTTCGTGGTGTGTTGTCAGGTAAGGTTTTATTCGGTAATTTTAATTTGTGCGAGCTGGCCCTGCTTTCCACTCCAATTCTTGCAATATTTCCGTTAAAGCATATGTTGCGAAAAAATGTATCATATTTTTGTTATAAAGTACACCGGTTTACCTTTTTTGTGATAGAGATGAAGTAAGAACAACAGTATTGCTGGGAGGGAAAAAAACATACGTAAATTATAAGACGCTGAAATAGTTATCAAAGAAGAAATCTTGCCTGCAATAAACATGTGTCTCACTGCGACTTCCAGTTTGGCCAGTGTGAATGTGGAACTTTGTTTCCGGCGGCCGGATGATACCAAACACGTTTTCCAGTACTTTATTTGTTTTGCTGCTTATTTTGAAATTGCTATTACGTGGGAATTTAGTTTGTCAATCTGTGAGGTCCACACAAGTCAGTGACAATTCTGTGGACCTTATGACATTTTACCTTAATTGTTTCATATCAATATTATTAATGCATTTGCATTCGTACCTACACGGCAACGAAAAGCTGACGCGTCCGTCTGCGGACAAAACCGTGGAAAGGGAAGCGCGTCGCGTAAAGAGGAGGAGAGTGGTGAAGAACAAAGGCGAGAGGGAGGCGACGTCACAGGGCGGAAGCCAATGCGCGCGCGGCGCGGCGAGAGGGAGGCGACGTCACAGGGCGGGAGCCAATGCGCGCGCGGCGCGGCGAGAGGGAGGCGACGTCACAGGGCGGAAGCCAATGCTCGCGCGGCGCGGCGAGAGGGAGGCGACGTCACAGGGCGGAAGCCAATGCTCGCGCGGCGCGGCGAGAGGGAGGCGACGTCACAGGGCGGAAGCCAATGCGCGCGCGGCGCGGCGAGAGGGAGGCGACGTCACAGGGCGGAAGCCAATGCTCGCGCGGCGCGGCGAGAGGGAGGCGACGTCACAGGGCGGAAGCCAATGCTCGCGCGGCGCGGCGAGAGGGAGGCGACGTCACAGGGCGGGAGCCAATGCGCGCGCGGCGCGGCGAGAGGGAGGCGACGTCACAGGGCGGAAGCCAATGCTCGCGCGGCGCGGCGAGAGGGAGGCGACGTCACAGGGCGGAAGCCAATGCTCGCGCGGCGCGGCGAGAGGGAGGCGACGTCACAGGGCGGGAGCCAATGCGCGCGCGGCGCGGCGAGAGGGAGGCGACGTCACAGGGCGGAAGCCAATGCTCGCGCGGCGCGGCGAGAGGGAGGCGACGTCACAGGGCGGAAGCCAATGCGCGCGCGGCGCGGCGAGAGGGAGGCGACGTCACAGGGCGGAAGCCAATGCTCGCGCGGCGCGGCGAGAGGGAGGCGACGTCACAGGGCGGAAGCCAATGCTCGCGCGGCGCGGCGAGAGGGAGGCGACGTCACAGGGCGGGAGCCAATGCGCGCGCGGCGCGGCGAGAGGGAGGCGACGTCACAGGGCGGAAGCCAATGCTCGCGCGGCGCGGCGAGAGGGAGGCGACGTCACAGGGCGGAAGCCAATGCTCGCGCGGCGCGGCGAGAGGGAGGCGACGTCACAGGGCGGGAGCCAATGCGCGCGCGGCGCGGCGAGAGGGAGGCGACGTCACAGGGCGGAAGCCAATGCTCGCGCGGCGCGGCGAGAGGGAGGCGACGTCACAGGGCGGAAGCCAATGCTCGCGCGGCGCGGCGAGAGGGAGGCGACGTCACAGGGCGGGAGCCAATGCTCGCGCGGCGCGGCGAGAGGGAGGCGACGTCACAGGGCGGGAGCCAATGCTCGCGCGGCGCGGCGAGAGGGAGGCGACGTCACAGGGCGGAAGCCAATGCTCGCGCGGCGCGGCGAGAGGGAGGCGACGTCACAGGGCGGGAGCCAATGCTCGCGCGGCGCGGCGAGAGGGAGGCGACGTCACAGGGCGGAAGCCAATGCTCGCGCGGCGCGGCGAGAGGGAGGCGACGTCACAGGGCGGGAGCCAATGCTCGCGCGGCGCGGCGAGAGGGAGGCGACGTCACAGGGCGGAAGCCAATGCTCGCGCGGCGCGGCGAGAGGGAGGCGACGTCACAGGGCGGGAGCCAATGCTCGCGCGGCGCGGCGAGAGGGAGGCGACGTCACAGGGCGGGAGCCAATGCTCGCGCGGCGCGGCGAGAGGGAGGCGACGTCACAGGGCGGGAGCCAATGCTCGCGCGGCGCGGCGAGAGGGAGGCGACGTCACAGGGCGGGAGCCAATGCTCGCGCGGCGCGGCGAGAGGGAGGCGACGTCACAGGGCGGAAGCCAATGCTCGCGCGGCGCGGCGAGAGGGAGGCGACGTCACAGGGCGGGAGCCAATGCTCGCGCGGCGCGGCGAGAGGGAGGCGACGTCACAGGGCGGGAGCCAATGCTCGCGCGGCGCGGCGAGAGGGAGGCGACGTCACAGGGCGGGAGCCAATGCTCGCGCGGCGCGGCGAGAGGGAGGCGACGTCACAGGGCGGGAGCCAATGCTCGCGCGGCGCGGCGAGAGGGAGGCGACGTCACAGGGCGGGAGCCAATGCTCGCGCGGCGCGGCGAGAGGGAGGCGACGTCACAGGGCGGAAGCCAATGCTCGCGCGGCGCGGCGAGAGGGAGGCGACGTCACAGGGCGGGAGCCAATGCTCGCGCGGCGCGGCGAGAGGGAGGCGACGTCACAGGGCGGAAGCCAATGCTCGCGCGGCGCGGCGAGAGGGAGGCGACGTCACAGGGCGGGAGCCAATGCTCGCGCGGCGCGGCGAGAGGGAGGCGACGTCACAAGGCGGGAGCCAATGCGCGCGCGGCGCGGCGAGAGGGAGGCGACGTCACAGGGCGGGAGCCAATGCGCGCGCGGCGCGGCGAGAGGGAGGCGACGTCACAGGGCGGGAGCCAATGCGCGCGCGGCGCGGCGAGAGGGAGGCGACGTCACAGGGCGGGAGCCAATGCGCGCGCGGCGCGGCGAGAGGGAGGCGACGTCACAGGGCGGGAGCCAATGCGCGCGCGGCGCGGCGAGAGGGAGGCGACGTCACAGGGCGGGAGCCAATGCGCGCGCGGCGCGGCGAGAGGGAGGCGACGTCACAGGGCGGGAGCCAATGCTCGCGCGGCGCGGCGAGAGGGAGGCGACGTCACAGGGCGGAAGCCAATGCTCGCGCGGCGCGGCGAGAGGGAGGCGACGTCACAGGGCGGGAGCCAATGCGCGCGCGGCGCGGCGAGAGGGAGGCGACGTCACAGGGCGGGAGCCAATGCTCGCGCGGCGCGGCGAGAGGGAGGCGACGTCACAGGGCGGAAGCCAATGCTCGCGCGGCGCGGCGAGAGGGAGGCGACGTCACAGGGCGGGAGCCAATGCGCGCGCGGCGCGGCGAGAGGGAGGCGACGTCACAGGGCGGGAGCCAATGCTCGCGCGGCGCGGCGAGAGGGAGGCGACGTCACAGGGCGGGAGCCAATGCGCGCGCGGCGCGGCGAGAGGGAGGCGACGTCACAGGGCGGGAGCCAATGCGCGCGCGGCGCGGCGAGAGGGAGGCGACGTCACAGGGCGGGAGCCAATGCGCGCGCGGCGCGGCGAGAGGGAGGCGACGTCACAGGGCGGGAGCCAATGCGCGCGCGGCGCGGCGAGAGGGAGGCGACGTCACAGGGCGGGAGCCAATGCGCGCGCGGCGCGGCGAGAGGGAGGCGACGTCACAGGGCGGGAGCCAATGCGCGCGCGGCGCGGCGAGAGGGAGGCGACGTCACAGGGCGGGAGCCAATGCACGCGCGGCGCGGCGAGAGGGAGGCGACGTCACAGGGCGGGAGCCAATGCGCGCGCGGCGCGGCGAGAGGGAGGCGACGTCACAGGGCGGGAGCCAATGCGCGCGCGGCGCGGCGAGAGGGAGGCGACGTCACAGGGCGGGAGCCAATGCGCGCGCGGCGCGGCGAGAGGGAGGCGACGTCACAGGGCGGGAGCCAATGCGCGCGCGGCGCGGCGAGAGGGAGGCGACGTCACAGGGCGGGAGCCAATGCGCGCGCGGCGCGGCGAGAGGGAGGCGACGTCACAAGGCGGGAGCCAATGCGCGCGCGGCGCGGCGAGAGGGAGGCGACGTCACAGGGCGGGAGCCAATGCGCGCGCGGCGCGGCGAGAGGGAGGCGACGTCACAGGGCGGAAGCCAATGCGCGCGCGGCGCGGCGAGAGGGAGGCGACGTCACAGGGCGGGAGCCAATGCGCGCGCGGCGCGGCGAGAGGGAGGCGACGTCACAGGGCGGGAGCCAATGCGCGCGCGGCGCGGCGAGAGGGAGGCGACGTCACAGGGCGGGAGCCAATGCGCGCGCGGCGCGGCGAGAGGGAGGCGACGTCACAGGGCGGGAGCCAATGCGCGCGCGGCGCGGCGAGAGGGAGGTGACGTCACGGGGCGGAAGCCAATGCGCGCGCGGCGCGGCGAGAGGGAGGCGACGTCACAGGGCGGGAGCCAATGCGCGCGCGGCGCGGCGAGAGGGAGGCGACGTCACGGGGCGGGAGCCAATGCGCGCGCGGCGCGGCGAGAGGGAGGCGACGTCACGGGGCGGGAGCCAATGCGCGCGCGGGAAACCGGTGAAGAGCGAGAACAGCGTCAGGCAGCGGATGCCGCTGCTAAGCGTGCAAGGCGAGCGAACGAGACAGAGGAGCGGAAGCAGCGCATGGCTCGACCGGCCGAAATGCGGCGCGAGAAGCGGCAAGCCGACGCCGGTATGCGCGTGACAGGGGCGAAATGAGCTCGGCGAGCCCGCTTCGCCGGGAAAAATAAAGATCCATCGGTGGATCCCTTGGGAAACGCCACGCAAGGTGGATCCTTAGGGAAAGCACGACCCTTAGGAAACGCCACATTCGTCCCCCTTTGGGGAACGCTAACACTGACCCCTTAACGAAAACAAGAAGAGAAAGTGAAAACTGTGAAGTGAAGGGGTCAGCGTAAGCGTTTCCCAAAGGGGGCTTGTGTGGCGTTTCTCAAAGGTCATGCTAACGCATTTCCTGATGATCCACCAATTGATCGTCCTTTAATTTTTAGGTTCAACAAGCTTTTTCGTAAAACTGTTAGTTCCAGATATTGAATTTACTTGGTCTTCGATACCTTACAAATAAAGGGGCAAGTGAGAAGAAGAAGGGAACGAAACGACCTCGCCACGATACCTAAAGTGCATTTATCACTGTTAACACAGGCGCATTAGTGAACGGTTGGACACGAAATATTCACGAATGCATCCGTGTTTTATTGAATAGTATTCGATTATGAAATCATGCCGTCTCGGATTATACATTTTTATGAATTGTTCTACTACCCTTCAACATGCCGCTGCCTGGTCAATGCTTTCGCTTGCGCAGGGTTCGGCAACATGGCGTTCAGCAACCTCATCGGAAGCAACATATTCGACATCCTTTTCTGCCTGGGCTTCCCATGGCTGGTCAAGACACTTTCCCACTCGAGCACGGGGAGTCTGCACATCAACAGTGGCGCACTCACCTACACGACGCTCACTCTGCTCGCCACCACCGTGTTAATGTTAGTGACTTTGTGTGCCTCCAGATGGCGGCTGAATTGGAAAGTTGGCATCGTCTGTCTCGTCCTCTACGTGGCATTCATTGTGCTCGCCTGTTGCTATGAGCTGAACTTCTTTGGACAATTCAATCCTCCCACTTGCGCTGAGTAGATTGACTTATACCTGGTCATTTAGACATCAGTTTGGTTGCTTGTGAACTTGTATCGGTTAATCGGTTAGGCGACGGTTCACGACAGTAAAAACAACAGGCGTCTCCGCGGAGAATGCAAGAGTGGCTATCCCCATCAAGGATTCGCGCCACTTGAGGCTGCAACCAGACTGTGAAGTTTTTATGCTAGTCTATTATGCTCTTGAAAATTCAGCATATAATGAATTCTCTCAGCAATTTGTTACTATGGTAAGAAGCCAGACCACGTGTTCAGTGACAAATTGTCCGGAGGTACAGGTAAATATATACTTTAAAAAAAACAACAAAAAAACAGCAACAAGGGAGATTTTACATTCTGCAAAATGGCGGAATGCGAAACTGTTTGCGACCACGTGAATTTCTGCTAATATTTTACTCAATCTTCAGATCGCTCCAGGGCTCGACTTAGAGCATGGTTGCGGATAACGAAAAACAGACGGTCATATTTTGTAACTATTTTTTCTTAGCTCATCTTACTTCCGAACAGTTCCTTCGAAATGCCTGCTTTAACGAATGTCAAGGCGATTGTTCGAATACATAAATGGACTGAGATCTATTTCTTCAAAACGAATGTTCACTCTTCAACGTGTTCCAGGCAGGTTGTCCCTCTTGTTTCCCTCATTTTTTTTTTCCGGTTCATTGGGTTAAGAGGGAACTTAAAATTACTGCGCTGGGTTGGGTTGTGTGGCAGTAAATACTTTAAAACATGGTGCCCGTAACAATTGCTTTCTGCTTCATTAGGCGGAAAACTTAAGATTAATAAAAAGCAAGAACAAAGGTGGAAATACTGTCGCTACTTGCACTTTTGGCACTTTAAAACTCTAATAGCATATGAAAAAAAAAAAAAAAAAACGCGGCACTTTGTTTTTGTAGTGCTACATGTGATCTCGTTCAGGAATTGTTGGAATATATACTATCTCATCAACGTTGGGCCTCATATGCTAGTGATTGTCTCTGAAAATATAGACGTAGGTTCAAAAGTCATTCCGTGATAACATTCTTTCATCCGCTCATTGTTATAACGAGCGGTTTTAATGTAACATGGTACATAAGAAAGACGAAAGTCCGGCCAGTGTACATTTGTATATAATTTGTTTGTCGCGAGATAGTGATGTTAAAAAAAAGTTATATTAAACATGTTTGTTTGATAATCTTGGCTTGATTTTGATTTTGTTGATCTGGGAAGTAATTCTGGATAATAGAAATTCTTCACCAAGGACGTCTTATCAGCAGAAGACCAAAAAGCGAATGCAAGTAAGTTGCAATAACAAGCAATATCTTGCTAAGATATTGGGTCGTCTTGAATGATTTCTATTTTCCTAGTTACATCTTGCAAGGGTCTTGCAGTCGTAGGTTCTATATTAACGGAAAACTCAGTATATCTACATAAGGAATGGTAGGAAAGTATTTTACGCAAACTTAGTTTTTATCTCTGGTGAACCCGCACTTATACAACAGGAGAAAAGCAGCACAGTTAACAGAATAAACTACAAGGTGTCTCAAATAGCGGACAGGCTCTTTAAAGGGATACTGAACCGAAATTTCGAGCTCACTAAACAAGGCCGGGCGGATAGGCGGGAAGCTGCAAAACCAAAAAATATCACTCATACGGCGATATATCTAACGGATCGCCGTATTTTTTTGGAAAAGAAGTGCGCGATTGAACCCGGCCGACGAGGCCGACGAGACAAGGCACGTCACGATTCCCATTCCCTCTCCTCCTCGCTAAGTCCCGTCAAGCTGGTGAACCGAAGCGAGGAGGAGAGAAGCGAGGCCGCTCTCCTCATTCTCAAATTCTCCCGGAGGACAGTTACGTCAAAGAACTCGCTTGATCGCGCCCTTTTTTTCCAAAAGTACGGCCACCCGTTTGAGATATCGATGTACGAGTGATGTTTTGGGGTTCGTAACGTCCCGTTCAACACTTCTGCAGCCTAACTTTGCGAAATCCAAATTTCAGTTCAGTATCCCTTTAAATCGACCGCAAAAATCGGTTTCTTAACCTATCGCGCTACGATTTTGTGCAGCGTTGCCCACAGGTGGTGCATTTTTTCTATGGAATTTACAGAGCGAACTTTGGTTGGAATGATCAGTAAGCACGCGCGAAGCTCTGCTTTTGTTTCTTCTAAAGTCCAGACGCAGCCGACGCTACGAGCTCATGGGGCCAATCGGACAGCGTCAAAAAAGCGCACCATCATGGTGTTCGTCATGTTTATGTACGTGTTCTATCATCGCTGTACCAATCATGTAAAGGGAGGCCCAGTGATTTGCGCTTTTGACGCTGCTTGATCGGTCCCATTAGCTTGTAGCGTTGGAGGCGTCTAAACTTAAGCTAAAACTAAGTATAGATGCCCTTGTCTCCCATTGCTATTTGAACGCGTTTGAACAGCGAGTGGAGGGCCTTCTTGCGTCTACACATTCATCATTCCAACCAGAGCACGGTCTCTTGATGTCCCCGCGCGCTTTCATGTCCTCTTCTTTCTCTGTTTCTACCCGTATAAAAAAGGCAAAATTTACACATGGTTTTTGGTTCTTGAGTTTTTCTATCAAGAATTTCGTGTTACGCGACTCGGAAAGAAATCGTAAATTTATCTTTGCTCTACGTCGTCACATTATTCTCGGAATCCTGATTTATGACGGCTGCTGAACGCAGACATTATGGAACATAAAAAGAGGAAAATATAACCGCATTGTTGCCAACAGAAGAAACCAATTTGGAACGGCACATTTACATTTTTAAGCCATTTGCAGAATGACTTATGCAGGAAATGAGCCTTGAATGAACTGGAATGGCAGCGAGGTCTTGCGAAACCAATGAGGGTTTTATGCAAATGATAAGTGCGTATTGTTCTAGAGTCAACGCAATGAAACACTTCAAAGATGTTTATATACAATATTTTTTCTTATTTCTTATAGTATACTTTTAAAGGCAGACCATTCTCTAGCTAAGCATATAACGTACGTTCTTTGTTTTTGGAGGTCAGTAATTGTGATTTAGAGCTTCATAATACTAGTATATTGCGTTTCAAGCACTTGTAAAAGCTATGTAACAAATTGTCATTTAAATTTAACGTCTGGCTTTTCTTGCGTATAACGAACCGGAATTTAAGCGTGCTGTACTTTCCCTCTTTAACCGATGCGGTCGCTATAGGGCTAATGGACAGCACTGAGCTGTCGATGCGTCTCCAGGAAATTCAATACATTAAAATATAATTCACAGAGGTCACAGAACGCATTAACTTTCTTACACTCCTTGGAGTCTTTGCCACGTCTGAGCTCCACTAGAAAAAAAAATGCAGATGTTTTACTGGGCACTGTGCCAAACACGATCGCTCTCTTGTTTGTCCCTCAACAAACTCGAAACGGTAGGTTTACAAGGAACCTTACGTTCCAGATGTGTTAATGTTTGTTATATATCTCGAAGTCGGACCCTAAAGCGGAACATTGCCACGAACTCTCCTGTGGGGCGCAATGCAGCAGCAATCGTAAGGTCTCTCCATTCAATCAGGTTAGCCAGTCAGGAGGGACAGCGGTGTTGCAATTCGATGGTGACGCGCTCGCAGTAGAAAAAAAAGTTTCCATTTTGTTCGCTTTCTTCACTACAACACGATGTCTCGGCGAAGGAAATAAAGATCATGCGTTTGGTTGTATTATGTTGAAAACGAGTATTTTCATATTTGATGTTTAGTCAGTCGTTGAATTAGGTAGACTGAGCGCTAATGCTCTCGGAGAGGCCTATTCTTGAAAACAACTCTCCAAGGAAATGTAGTCACGATATACGTACGAAACTTCTTTCTTTTTTGTTTTGCTTCAGAAAGTTGTTTCCGAGCACATCCATGAGCCAGTAGATGCCACTGATACCAGCATTAAAGTCAAGTCTTGATGTTTGTCGTGAGTTATGACAGCGGGAAATATTGTTCCTTCTCTCACGCGAATAAACATGCTCGCAAGGAGTATTGTACTCCTGGCATGTTTTTTTTTTTTTTTCAACCAGAGTTTCAGGTAAACTAAGCTACTATCCATGTGACACTTTTCCATCAAGTGACACGTGACGCTGCCGGTGCTGCGCTTCCCCTTTTGATGAAACGAAAGAGAGAGGTGCACGTTAATTTGGAGAAAAAAAGTGATACACTTGGTTTCGAGGCAGACCGGTTCAAATGAGTCTATCTCATGGGCAGTGTAATGCGCACGTGTTTCCGGGAAGTTGAACGAGACAATCAGTCTTATCGTCATGCCGGCGTATTGTCACGACCAAACCAGGGTCGAGCACACGTGCTATGCGGCGGAAACGCGGTATCAAGCAGAGGCTGGTTGGTGCCAGATCTACAAGGTGATGTCTTTCACAGATATTGGCAGATTTACGGAACTGAGTCAACACCGTCTAGAATAATGAAAGCCTTCGGTCGCTCCTTTCCTTCGTCCGTGGAACGTCATCGCGCAGTCGGATGGCGCAAACTCGGCAATTGGACCCGAACCTGATGCCGAGTGTCCTTCGACGCGCTGATCGGACACGAGGTCTATCCGAGCAGTGACGCAGCGCTCGTATCCAATCAGGTTCTTCGTTCGATCTCACTGTGATGACGTCAGCATTCTAGTGGTGTACAGGTTTTGGTGAACAGGTCGTGTTGGCTGAGTTCGGTTTATATACGTATAGGCATGTGGCACGGCGATTTTGCAAGCTTGGCGAGACAGAGATAAGTCTCAAAACAATAGAGTGATAAAGAGACTAAACGACTTGACAGCACACAAAATAACACACAAAAAAACTCGTTTTAGGATTAAAATACCAACTGCTGCAACTGAGGCGCGATTTTCGCTTGTTGAATGCTCTGTTGCTTACTCGAAACTTTTTTTTTTCAGAGTGATATTATATTGCCATGCGAGATGCAAAAACTGCCTTCGCTTAGAAAGAAACGTTTCTGCAGAACGGTTGCCAACCCCAGTTCGAACATTGTCGTTTCTTGATCGGTTTTATTTCTGTTCAATCAAATTATCATTTTCGCTGAGGCTGAATTTGGCTTCGATGTGCCGTTTGGATTGAATCTTTCTCTTTTGTCTCAAAATTAGATTTGTCGGAAGCGCCAGTTCGGTTTACGGTAATTCGCGTGGGCCTGACAGTTCACTTAGACTTGAAGTTTCACTGCTGGCTGAAACTTTAATCTACGCTTATCGTTTTAGTTTAGTGAGGGAACGCACTGATGTCTAATATATATATATAAAAGCGTCCAAAACAGTAAGAACCAAGAAGTTTGGCAACACAAGGCTCTTCTTGGTTCTTGTTTCTGATGCTTTTATATGTATTCTTTAATATTACGAACCAACTAGTATAATGAAAGAGTTTGCAACACACTGACGGAACCTAACGAGCAACACATTGACGCCACTAATGAGTGCCCGGCAACATTTCTGATTTGGTGTATTTTACTCATAATTTTTTATTGTGTTCATCAAAAAAAAAAAAAAAAAATCATAATAAAAAAAAGTGTCTCCCAGGTAGTGCGTATAGACTTGACCCCGCAAATACTGCAAAGCCTCCGATCTATACTCGGTTTCACACAAAGCCCAAACACAGCCGACGCTATCTACACCGACACAGTATTTCCCAACGAGCCCGCTTTGTCTACACCCGGTGTGGGCACTAGGCGTGCGCAGAAACCAAATTCGGGAGGAGTGAAACGTTTGCACATGCGCAGTACCGACAGCAGCGCCACCGCAATGGAGTGTGACGTTAGTGAGTTGAGTCGGTCTATGCGATCGGATGGAACCAATCGTGCAACGCCGAAAGTGCAACGTCATGGCGGTCGTCGTCTTTGTGCGTTCGCCGTCAAACCAGTAACGCGCAGAAAAGAGTCCCAGGATCACGGCGGGTTCACTACGCTTACAAGCAGTTGGAAAGCCAGTCGGTCCCGCTCGAACGTATACCAATGCGCGAACAAGCCGCAATAGAGCGTTTTTCAAAAGTCCATCGAGCAATTTTTTCTGTGTGTATGTGTGTAAGCGTTGTGAATAAGAAAGGGGGGGGGGGGGGGGGGAGACATTGAGCAAGATTGCCGGTCGCCATTGCTTAGATGCGAAGCGCGTGATTGGATCCGAGTCTTCGCCGAACGCTGACGCAGCGCTCGTGTTCAATAAGGATCGAGTAATGGCGGACAGGTGATGGCGCTGATTTCCGAAAAAGGGTCTTTCGCCTCGCGCTGAAAATACGAAAGTTCAAAACCGTTTTTCGGTGTTGCAGGGTGGGCGTTTCGAAAGCGTTATCTTGGTTTTTGAGTGAAGTAATCTTATCGCTGGCTGTGGTCGCGCCGGAAACCTGCCATGTTCCGGTGAGTTTACGCCTGACTCTGTGTTCGTTGCGCGATCACAATTATTCGCAGAGTTCGTCGGCTGGGCCATCAACGCAACGTTTGTTGATTCAATCGCTATTTGACTCCTTACTTGGTCTCTATTGTCGATTTTCATAATACGAGAGGAAAAATGTCTCTCGAGTTCGCCGATAAACTAAATAATTGAATACTATGCGCGTTACTTCTTTTTAAAATAAAATCTGCCCACCGTAATAACTTGAATAGCAAAAAATAAAAAAGGTGTTTAGTATGGTGTTTTTATAACTATTTCCTGCGGATTGAAGTTGGCACTATGTGACAAATTTAACACGAATATCAGAAATAAAAGCTCGGACGTGTTATACTGTCATACTCGTTATCTCGGCACCATACGTCAGAACCTAGTGAAGTCTAGACCACGTACACACGCACACACACGCCTAAAGTGCAATTTAATGGTGAATTCACTGTGGTTGATTGATTTAGCCGTTAACAGCGCACACACACACACACAAACACAAAGACCGTGACACTGCACTTTTCTTGGCGTTGGCTACGCTCGGACATATAGTAAAACGAAGCAAAGTGGTTTGCGTGACTAATTAGCTGGCATAGTTGTTGACTCGTTACCGAAATTCTCGTTGATTTTAAGCATCTACCGGCAATTCCCGATTGTCATGTGTTCTTGGCTGTGCGCACGACACTCATTGAAGAAATTTTTCTAGTACTACAAGAACTACCAGCGTGACAAAAACAGCGCAGGGAGAACGTCGCGTCAGCAAACACGAAAAAAAGAAGAAAAAGCACAAACAAGGGAGGTTTATTGAAGGCCGCTTGGAGAGTCGTACAAAAAGCAAAAACGAAAGAGGAAACGCATTCCCCACAGCAGCGGGGCATAGTCCTGGCAAGAGATCACGCGTAATCTTCGCTTTCACTATCAACCTCGTGACGCACTTGCGGTGGCTGCTGCCACCACCACAGCTTCGGCAGGCGCACTTTTATCGCGGGCATTTTCGGACGGGAGAGAACCCTGGGCGAAGGTGTCGAGCTCGTATTTTTTACGCCGAGCCGAAGAGCGCGTGACGGATGGCCAGGACGCGAGCATGCCGACGCTGATCACTGCACGTGCTTCTCGCACGGCCACGGCGAGGCTGGGCCTCCGGTCGCCGTCTTTCGGACGGAGTCGAAAGCGGCTCCTGTGGCTGCTGCCGACGTTCGTGCTCGTCAACTTCTTTTTCTTCCGGTCGGGCATCGGTATCGGTGACGTGGTATCACCGGAGGATGCAGCATCACCGAATGAAGGTGAGTCCGTGCCACGCGCGAGGGCAAGGAAGGTGGCCCGCGGGATTGACTTTTAACACAGTGGAAACAACACACGGGAGCCGAGTTGTTTTACGAGTTTATGCCTTAAATTAATAATTGTAATCGTGTTGCATGTATTAGCGGCGCAGCCAGGAATTTTTTTCACTGGTGGAGGGGCGGGGGAGGATGAGGCGGCTGGAATGTTCGTGACTTCGAGTACAGAGGGGGGGGGGGGGGGGGTAAAAAAAATGACCGCATCTCCACGTGGTGAATGATGTTGATTGGGGCCAAGCTCTGGTGGTGCTGATAATACTGATACTGACTAAATACTGACACAGATGATACTGACTAAATATTGATTCAGATGATACTGACTAAACGTTGAGCCGATGCATGCAAAGTTTAACGCGATTATATATGCATTTGACCGCAGCGCCCTCTCCTGTATAGACGTTGAGCGGCTACATGCAACGTTTCATCCCAATTTAAAAGGTTAAAAAGCGCAACACAACAAGGACAATAAAGACACGAAGACGACAGGACGGGCGCTTCGTGTCTTTATTGTCCTTGTTGTGTTGCGCTTTTTAACCTTTTAAATCAGTATGAACGAACTCGCCCAAACACAAGTTTTTAATTCAACATGTTTCATCCCAGCTCTTGAGTTACTACCAAATCTCAGAGCCCCCTTCTCGTCGCGCAGTCGTGGCTGAGTGGTTAAGGCGATGAACTAGAAATCCATTGGGGTCTTCCCACACAGGTTAGAATCCTGTCGCTGCGGTCAAATATGCATTTGACCGTAGCGCCCTCTCCTGTATAGACGTTGAGCGGCTACACGCAACGTTTCATCCCAGCTCTTGAGTTACTACCAAATCTCAGAGCCCCCCTCTCGTCCCGCAGTCGTGGCTGAGTGGTTAAGGCGATGAACTAGAAATCCATTGGGGTCTTCCCACACAGGTTAGAATCCTGTCGACTGTGCAAACATTTTTTCTTGTTTTAAGAAGACAGATGGGATGGCAATCGATGTGAGCACGGACGCCGGACAAGGCTAGTCCCTGAGGAGCTTCGCCCCTAAAATGCTTGTGTATATCACGGGGTCGGCTGGGGTTCGGGGTGAGGTGGGGGAGGGTGGTGAGGCGGGGGAGGGTGGTGAGGCGGGGGAAGTTGAAGCTTTATATTTTAGTGTATTTTAGTGGTGCATTCTACCATGTGAGACTGCAAATTATACCTCTGTATAAGTAAAAAAAAAAAAAAAAAAAAAAGAAAACAACACGTTAATGCAATTAAGGCAAAGTTGCAGCCAGCTGGACGAGAATCACGATAATAATCCCTCGAGACGGGGACAAAGGACAAATACAAATCTCGAAATGGAGTTAGGTGACTGGTGCGCGACTGAAAAAATCCACCTGGTCCTGATATTGTACCAGGGACCTCTTCATTTCCAGTGGAGCGCTCTACCAAGACGGGCCTACGAGCCCACACCCCCGATTGCTTCCAATTCGTTTTTTCTAACCTAAATTTTCAGCAACAGCAACAACAACGACGTGCGTAGAGTAAATCGGTTTTAACAGCTGCCACCAGTAACACCAACAAGGATGAACGGCCTGCATTTTAAGATTATAACGCAATTAATGCAAAGTTGCAGCGTTGAAAGCGTCAACACCTGGCGCCGACGCTGACGACCGAGTTAACCGAGGTTAGTGCTTGTGGCGTCATCTCCCGGTAGGCGGCACAAGCAGGGGATGACATTCGGTCGAAAGAAGACTACGCGGTCGTATGCTTTCTGCGTCTATCGCGAGGTGACACAGATAGCACGAACCTTGATTAACTCTGTTGTCTGCGTCGGCGTATGCCACTGGTGTCAAGGTTGTCATAAATTTTTCGCATGAACATAACTACGCCTTGAAGTTTTACAAGGTAAGATATACCGCGAAAATACATCCCGGATGAAAATTTAAAACTGCTACGTGCAGGCGCCGATTTTTCCGTCCGATTTTAGAGCAGGCCACGGGATTCCCGGCGCTCACGCGGACGCAATAAAAAGTTTGCTGAAGGAGCACCATGCGAAGAATAGTATGTCACTTTATGTAGGTCTGCGCATGCACAAATTACCAGTCATTTTTTATGCCATCATGGCATTGCAGCTGCATGCATTTTCCATTGCGAAACTCGAGAGCAGTTGCAGGTGATCCAACCTCACCCTGCTTTTGCATGCGGGATAGTGATTGTTTTGACATCCGGGCCGCGGCTCACACTGTTGCAGGTTAAGAATAACAGGACATTCTCCTCGCTCAAAGCACTCTACTCGTCATGACTGGTGTTTCTTCCTTCCTGTCGCCCCCTCTCCATCGTTCGGTCTGCGAATGTGAAAAGGAGTGAGGCTTCTGTGGGAGTCGCGCCTCCTGCTATTCTCAACCTCTAACAAACCATGGGCGAAAAACTAGGAAGTACTGCCCATTGTTTGGTGCAATATTGCCTAGGTTGCTCTTGCGACAAAAAATCCACATCATCATCAAACTAGAAGTACTACGCAGAGTACTACGCCAAGTATTTGTTGAGACAGCACGCCAAGAGACACTTCGTGTGAAAAACGGGCCCTATGTGTCATCCTACGAGGGACTAAAGGCCAAAGCCACGGGCCGCCAGGTCCAATCACGTTACACACTAAACTATAACATGCTGAATATTGATTAGGGGTGGACGAATAATGCTCCGAATCAGAAAGCGTTGCATCATTTTTATAGCTTCGACACTGCAAAAAGTCTGTATGTCGTGGCTTTCTTTGCGATGTAAAATTGATGAGTCACTCAGTGCTATTGAATTCGAACCACTGCCCACCCATACCCATTAGTGATCCTAGACAGAGGCACTGACAGGTTCATCGAAGCGAAATAACACGCAATTTCTATGTGGCTTGTGATTGGATCTGGTGGCCCGTAGTTTTTCCCTTTAGTCCATCGTAGGGTGAGAAGAAGTATAATTGAGCAAGGTGCGCTATAGAGATAGCATCAGTTTATTTGTGTGAAGGAGATGTTCACCTCATGTAGGACCAAAACATCTGCACACAAACATATCGAATGCATGTTTAATAGTTATTTTAATCGAGTGCCTTTTTTGCTTTCTAGCGGTGGTCTAGAAAGGTATGCTTAGGTGGTTCATTGATGTAGAAGAATCCTCCAGTTTAGTTGGCAATCAATTATCTTTGGGGCTTTCGTAAGAGATGATTTGTTATCAAGAAGATTCACGCCTCTTTGTTTTTACTCGATAGAAGCTTACTGCAAGGCCACAGAAAATGATAACCTTTTTTTTTCTTATTTATTGGTAATGCACCTTCACCATTGTTTAAGCGATACCCTTTTTTTTTCTCGGTTGCCTCTGGCGCTCTATCGTTGCATCCCGTAACGTATGTCAGAAAACATAATTTTAGTTTTCCTTTTGGAAAACTATCTGCAAAAAGAAGCGCTGGTAAGAGAAACTTGGGGTCCGAATTTCCCGACGAGATAAGAATGCCGTTTCACGGGGTGTAGTCTTTTTTTGAAAAACACGTGTGCAACGCTGCACAAATTATCAGAAATCCTCTTTTTCGGCTGAAATGGTGGTGTTGCATGTGATGCAGTATTAGGAGGCCACAACGCAGACTGTATTAAAAACAAATTAAGATCTCTTACGAACTTTGTTCAAAAGAATTATTGGGATACAACCTTAGTAAGCTATATATTGTTTATTTTAATTTTTTTTATTGTGAATAAGATCGGTGGCTCTGCAGTTACGTTTTTACCAGCCCATAATTGTTAAAGCATTAAACAAAATCTTGCCGACACCCTAGCTTGATTCATGACCTTCGTTGATCTTGCCGAATTTCGGTAACCTGAAACCTGGAGGCGCCTCACAACGCTAGATAATAACAAGATAAACGCAGGCCAGAATCATAATGAATTATTGAATAGTTTAGCTAGAAATTTTGAACAATACAAATAAAGCGAGGAGTTTTTTTTTATTTCGATAAAACAGCAAGTAAGCATTATCAAAAGAATGAAGACAACTGCTGTCGCGAACATTTTGTTCCGCTAGCAAAGCATGGCATTTTCATAGAGTTCGGAACAATGTGAAGTCTTAGCCCAAAACATCCTAAAGAAAAAGCGCACTCCGTGCGTCTACAAGTAGCTTTAATCTTTCACGGCGTCGACTAGCATGACTGTGCAGTTTAGAAAAAAAAGTGATTGACGTGTAGTACTCAAATAAAGGGGAATACGCCACGTGCGTTCCACACAGTATGCCCTTCCCACACAATGCGCTTAGTCATTCATGTTGGTTGTCATTACTTCTAAAACATTGCAAAAGTATGAAAGTATTTTGTCTCCTTGGTCGCTTTGTTTTCCTGAAGATTTCTTACTGGAGAATGTAAGTTATAACATTCCTACCGTATCTGCTCTTTTACAGTCACAACGTGCGCTTTGTCAGAAAGTTCTTGACTTTGTTTGGTTATTTATTTCTACTATAAATTTGACAAGCTTGCATTTTTCATGTTTTCATTTGTGTGTGTGTGGACGTTGCGTGTTGTACAACACTGGGGAGAACTTCGAAAACTGCAGATTAGTGGTCGTAGCTGACTGTTTACAGAAAATACATAAGACGCCATTTCAAAGGGAGTAGGCTTTTCCGTCGTCTAAACCTTTTACTTTAAAGGGGCCCTGCAATCATATTTAAGCGTCTACCTTTTTGCGGTTTCCACGTATCTTGGGGTTCGGGCTAGACAGCGGGCACAGAGAGAGTAACTAAATAGTGCGTCATATTTAAACGAACGACGCGAAAACCTCCTCCACCTACGGGGGCGACCCGCGGTGCCCAAAGCGCGCAATATGTGACGACATTGTGACATTTTAGGTCCTGGCCTTTCTTCTGGTCAGAGCCGATAAAAGCTTCTTTGTAGTCGAGATACAAAATATAGGTGGCGCGAGCCGTTTCAATTATTTATAAAGCTAGTTTTTGTTCAGTATTTTAGATCAGAAAAGAAACAAATGCAGTTTATAAAGTACGGAAACAACAAATGACCCGTCGACATACCCGCCAGCAAGCGGTGGAAAAGGCGGCGAATACTAAAAAGGTGTAGTGTGATCAGGCACCGACGAGCGGTGAGCGTAGAAAGGTCCCGGATGTACGCGGCGGCGCTGCAGTCGAGGATCTCAACGGTTCCGAGCGTTCTGAAGGCCTTCGGCGAGCAGCTTTGGCTTGCGGTTTGGCCCTTTGGCGGTATGGCAGTGCGAAGTGTCTCCCGTTCTGAACTAATCTTTACCCCGTGTTTGCTGTCGTTTGTGGCCAATGAAGTGTCATGCCGAATTATACTCGGCGACAACTTTTCTTGGCAATGCAGTGGAGAGGAGAAGAGCTTGTGCACAGCATCATTCAGCGCTCCAAATGGGAGGGGGAACGCGCGCCTGTACCTTCCACTGCATCGCCAAGAAAAGTCCGGAAATATTGTGCTTAATCGCGCAACAAATGCAATGCGTGCCGCCCTGGCTGCCCGCTTTATACAGTCTATCCAGAACATGCTTTAGTGGCGCCCTCTCGAGCCGTCGACACGGAGTGCGGCAGCCGTGAGCGCTCGCTGAGCTCACTACCCCTCCTCTAGTTCGCGGCCACACAAGCGAGCAAGGACGTCATGAAGGAGGTTATTTTTTGCTTGTTTTTGTAATTTTAATTAGCCGATAACTTTTCAAATGAAAGCGAAATTCGGGAAAAGAAAAGTTTAATTAAGTTACTACGTTCAGTGCGCTGAGGTTCGGTACAAATTAAGAACCAGTAAAAAAATCTTTGCAGAACCCCTTTAAACGGCGCGAAAAATCTAAAAAAAAGAAGAAATATGTATGATGTATTGTTTGGCTACTTTGAGGAAATTTCTTACGTCCATAATTTCTGCATTACCCGATCATCGTGTTCGTGCCAGACGCACATCGCCTAGAGCAATGAAAGCCCTGAACTTGCATTTCGACGTCATCGCAGTCTTATACAAAGCATGCACAGGTTGAACATGAGGGATGCCTCAGCGTTTGGCAGAGACTCCTCTCCAGTTAATACGTCGAAGGACGCTTGTCGCCTTGCTCTATTGGACAGTCTTGCTAATAAGCAGCAAGTCAAGAGGTTTAGCTAAATATTAATGCCGGCGGTACTACATGTACGAGGTGCGAAGAAAGTAGTTGGGCTATTTACACTTCGAGCAGATATGCTCTCCTGAAAACCAGCCCCTCTAATGTATTAAAAAAAACACATATGTATTTGTTTTACAATTGCAGGTACGAGAAGGCACCTCCTTGCGGACGGTCAGCCAGACTGCGTGCGGCCGTCCATCGAACACTTTCCGGGCGACTTCATGACGCAGGAGCAGCGCCAGCAGGGAGGCGTCGTGCTGCATTTCATCATCGTCATTTACCTCTGCGGCATTCTCGGCTACATCTGCGATGACTACTTCGTGCCTTCGCTCGAGATCATCGCTGACAGTGAGGGTGTTTTCTTTAGCTGCTTAGCTTTGGGAAAGGCGGGTGTTGGAACTTACTACCTCGCCCGGCCTCAGACAGAAGGACGTTTTGAGTCACAAAGAGACCGGGGAATCAAAGACTATAGGAAGAATATGGTTGTCTAACAGTGTAAAGGTGTAAATCACAGTTGTTATCACACAAGAGCCTATTTTCAGGCGTGTTCGGCGCTAAACGTATTTAAATTTGGGTTTTCTCTCGCGATCGTGCTTGTGGTAAGATTTTAAACGCCTACATCGACGTCTCTAAATGGTGTTGAATCAGCTGTACTGTTTCTTGCTCTAGGTATAAATACAACTTAAAAGTATGAACGTATAGCTGCGAAGGGAAACTCGATGTTTTTCTTTGGTGCCTTGCATACGAGAAAAGAGAGTTAACTTCAGCCAAGTTCGCTAAGTTTGAGAAAACTTAATCCCCTAACGGAAGGTCGACTGCCATTCTGAGGCTACGCAGGAAGCTTTTTTTTTTTGTTCTTAATCTAATGGGTTTTGTATTGTTTGCGATTCCCAAAACCCCAGAACTGATAAACGGCCACGTTTTGCTGCTTGTGCTTTATTCATTATCACAGCCCTGAAAGTCCCGAGTGATGTGGCCGGGGCAACGTTCATGGCCATTGGAACATCTGCACCGGAGCTGTTTTCTTCGATAATAGGTTCGTTAAGTACACAGTTTTATACGGCTTTGTGTTGTGACAAAAAAAAGAAGGAAAAGCCGAACTAAAATTTGGTGGTTTTATCGCGCAATCCTACTAAAACAAGTCCTGACAAATACATAAACTATATTTGTACTCCTATCTGCTATGCATAATGTCTGTTGCATTAATACCGCATTCGCTTTTTGACTATGATGCTATGCCAATATGTTCGCATCTCCAAAATAGTGTCCAGTTAAATATTGTCAGAATCACGACTGGGTGAGCACACTTCAAACAATCGAGAGACGCAGAGACAGGGAGCTACAGCGGCACCCATTTAAAGGAAAATATTTAAGAGTGGGCTCGAAATATTCTTGTAAAATATTTATTTTGTAAATTAACTGTGCGCATGAATGTTTAAAGTGCATTTACTTTCCGTATAATCCCAGAAAAGACGTGAACTCGGCTTGGTGATTAAGTTAAGGATGAATGCTGGCTGAGCTCTGGATAGATATTTCAATATAGTAGTATTTGTCACGGATTAGCTTGTTTTCAATTAGCGCCCTCACGATTTTGAGCAATTACAGCCGGTTAGCAGGTTAGCTGAGGATTTTAGCGTATGACTTTACTGTATACGTTAACGTAGTACAGAATCCTGACTCTACTTTATTACTAATTACAGAGCAGACCATGACTGGTTTGAACGAATCACGATTAATCAGTTCATTTAGACTTGGAATCCCCAAAAAGTTTCAAGTGACTAATTTGGTAGAGGCGGTGGTGCCGCTTGCCGGATGATATCGAATACCGCGCGTAGTATTCTACGTCTTCGTGCCAGACTCCTTAAACCCCCCCCCCCCTCCAAAAAAAAAAATGTTAAGGCGATTTATTATGGTGTCAGAAGACTACCCAATCAATATATTGCTACAGCGTCACGCATATTTTTAATAGAGTAAAAAAACGCAACTGCTCGTAACCGAAGCCGGAACTGAACTGGGGAGGAAGAAGGAATATAGAGAAGAAAGTTACCAAAAATGACGTGGCAGCTTTTTTTTCTTTTTTTAAATCAGCATATATTGAATATTTTAGAAGCCACAAAAAATGGGTGTCTCATTTTCAGTCCATTTTTAGTATTGAGTGTGTGTCTTTGATGTCCCACGACTTTAATAAACTTTGGTGGCTGTGTCTAAATCATAGAATACGGCTCGTGAACACAGAGAATAGAGCGAGCGCGACCCAAAACGGCCACTTTTCGATTGGCGGTTTTCGGGCGGAAAGAAAGCGAATTTCGAGCCGCAAATTGTGTTCTGGGTAGATTAACTCTCATAAGTCATGTACAAATGAAAACTTTGGTGAGCATAAATACACGAACTACACAAACGGGTGCCGCGCGGCAGTTTCCATGGCAACTTGCTCGCACGCTGTGACATGTGGCTTGGCATAGGTCCACGTCACCGTGTCCTGGGCTGTTGCTATGGGAATCAGCTTGCGGCACCCGTTTTAGCCGGTCATGTGTTCCCTGCTTTAGCCGTCTCGGTGGCCTCGAGGCAGAACGTCGGCATATGAATCCCTAGGTGGCGTTTTCAAAACCCGGCCGACGCGCCCGCAATCTGATGGAGGGTTATTGCAGGAAATGCGCTTTGTAATCAAGATCTCGGTCGCACGTCAAACGATCCTCAGGTGGGCGAAATTAATTCTTAGTCCTCCGCTGGAGCGTGCCGGGTGCCCTTCGTTGGTCTGGCACGTCCAACTCCCAATTTTACTCCTGATTCCCTCCAGGCTCCTTGGAGCTTTAAAATATTTAATCGCAGAAGTGGACTCTAGATTGCAGAAACTGCAACGTAGTAAAAAAAAACTGATTTCTGCTAAAGAATGTATGCGGCGGATTATATCATTACAAGTATTATATTTTTGTTTTATAAAGGCTCTTTTTTCTGATCAGGATCATTCATAACAGAAGGTGACATTGGAGTTGGCACTATCGTGGGGTCAGCAGTGTTCAACATACTTGGAGTGACCGGTGTCGCCGGCATCGCGGTCTGGAATAATGTAAGTCATCTTTACCGGCTTCCACGCCTTAGCTTCCCAAAGGGTTGTCTGCTGATTGCATCAATATTTTTCAGATTTAGCTTGTACTCTTTTTGCATTACGAACTTCAAAGACGAGGTGCCCATTTCGCATAGTTGCAGGCTCGGCGAAAGCTCCTTCTGATCAAATTCAGGCGGAAAAGTTAAAAAACAGCTTTGGAGTGAATTTCTATAAAGTTTCTTGGAAGGTTTCATAAACGTTTTATGGGGTTTCTGTAAAGCCAAGTGAAGTTTTGGGCCCTAAACTCGTCAAACGCAAAGTTGGAGCCAAAAGTTCGCGGAGCGCGCCGATTGGACGCTGGCGACAAAGGAGGGAAGTCATCGTCGTGGTTTTCCAATCAGTGCGCTCCGTTAACTTCGGCCCCAACTTTGTGTTTGACGAGTTTAGGGCCCTTGGTGTACAAACTTTGATGAAAATATATAAAAAAGTTTAGACGAAGTTTGGACGAAGTTTGGACGAAGTTTGGACGAAGTTTGGACGAAGTTTGGACGAAGTTTGGACGGAGTTTGGACGAAGTTTGGACGGAGTTTGGACGGAGTTTGGACGGAGTTTGGACGGAGTTTGGACGGAGTTTGGACGGAGTTTGGACCGAGTTTGGACGGAGTTTGGACCGAGTTTGGACCGAGTTTGGACCGAGTTTGGACCGAGTTTGGACCGAGTTTGGACCGAGTTTGGACCGAGTTTGGACCGAGTTTGGACCGAGTTTGGACCGAGTTTGGACCGAGTTTGGACCGAGTTTGGACCGAGTTTGGACCGAGTTTGGACCGAGTTTGGACCGAGTTTGGACCGAGTTTGGACCGAGTTTGGACCGAGTTTGGACCGAGTTTGGACCGAGTTTGGACCGAGTTTGGACCGAGTTTGGACCGAGTTTGGACCGAGTTTGGACCGAGTTTGGACAGAGTTTGGACAAAGTTCGGACACCGTTAACGTTTGGGTAACGTTTGAATTGGGGGTGTCGCGAACTTTTGTCGAACCGGATCTTTAGATCGAACTTTCGGGGTTCGACTGGGTCGACCCGGTTCGAAGAGCCTTCGACCTTTTAACCAGATTCTACCGGTTCGACTTCGTGAACATTGTCCAGACCTTGAACAAGCGTGTCTAGGTTTGAAGAACTTCTTATTGGGAAGGGTTATTTTAATTTTATGAACAGTTGCAATTAAAAGAAACTAATTCTAATCACCGAAGAAGTTAATAACTCATTTTTTGTACTGTATTAACTGAAATAACCAATCAGCGCTGCCCTCAATTCATCCCTTAGCCATCCCCATTCAATCCGAAGCCAACTGGCCAACCTGTCTCGCATGCACATAGCAGTCGAACCTGAATTGAATTTTTGTTGAACTCTTCACAAGAAATTCGAAAAGGTCGAACCTGGTCGAACTCGAACCTCGAACGATTCGCGACACCCCTAGTTTAGATAACGTTTGAATAACGTTTGGATAACGTTTGGATAACGTTTGGATAACGCTTGGATAACGCTTGGATAACGCTTGGATAACGCTTGGATAACGCTTGGTTAACGTTTGGATAACGTTTGGATAACGCTAGGTTAACGCTAGGTTAACGCTAGGTTAACGTATGGGTAACGTATGGGTAACGTAATGGGTAACGCCTGGGTAACGCCTGGGTAACACTTGAATAACGCTTAGGTAACGCTTGAATACCGCTTGAATAACGCTTGGATAACGCTTCGATAACTTTTGGATAGAGTTTGGATAAAGTTTAAAGGACGTTTGGAAAATGCTTGAACAACGTTTGGGTGAAGTTTGGACGAAGCTGGGACGAAATTTGAACAAAGTTTTGATGAGGATTCGATTGAGCTCGCATCGAAGTTCATATCGAGGCTGACTTGTGTCATCTACTTGAAAAATGTTATGAAGTACAATTGCAAATTACCGAGCCTCAAATGTAATGGATTATTCTTACAAATTACTTTCGCTGAAAGAGAATTACCTTAATTAAAGACTTGAGCGTGTTGGTGATGTACTTTGACTTAATACGAAAGAAACACATAAGAGGACGAAACAGACGACACAGCTTTCGACTTGCAACTACAGATTTACTGGGGCGGCTAGCCACTCAGAGCTCGACTTGGGGAGGCGATGGGGAAAGGGGGGAGAGGGATGAGGGGAGGTGTAAGAAACACAGGGAGACCGTTGCGGGGGCGAACACAGCGGTTGGTCGGGAGTCTGGTCCGTGTCGCCTCTCTCGTGGATGACACCTCGCGTCGCTTCGTGCCGTCGGGGGCGCGGCGGAGAGCGGGGGAAGGGGGGGGGGGGGCGTCATTGGAATTCCTTGGGGAAGGCGCAAACGAACCAGAGCACCAGAAGGTCAAGCGAAAACAGAAGGCGAGAAGAAGTAAGAACAGAGGGCGGCTTTCCGGGGCTGTTTTTGTTTGCCACTGTTTTTCCAAACCTTTAAGCTCCATTGCCGCTCGGGCTGGGGGGCTCCCCACCCTCGCAGAAAGCTAATCTTTCTCCGAGAGGGAAAGGGAAGGACTGGAAAAGTTTGTTGTCTGCCAACTTGATGCTTACGGATTCTATTATCTCTCTTCCGAATCGAGATCGGTGTCTCCCTATGATTTTTGTTTGGTTGAAATGGGGTGTGCAAGAGTGCAAGAGGAGCAGTTTTTTGCGTGGACAACAACCGGATGCACGGAATCTTCGGGCGGGCTCGTGATCTCCCTCGCGTATTCTCGGAGACGTTCGTTGATACATCGGCCCGTCTGACCGATGTACTCCGCTCCGCACGAAAGAGGGATCGTGTACACTTTCTCTCGCGCGCAGGAGAGGAAGCACTGGGCGTGTTTTTTAGTGCAGGAGGGCGGAGGTTCCGGATTGTTGACACGCTTGCACATTCCACCCAATTTGAATTTGCAGGTGAAAAGAACCCTGGTGTCGAATTTGCGTGCAAGCGCACTCAAACGATGGGATGTGTTGTGCACGTAGGGAATGCATGCAGGGCGGGAGGAGAAAGATCTGGGTGGGGGATTGCGGAGGCGGCTCCCGGACTGCACGATCAACTTTTTGATGTTGTTTTCAATCAGATCCGCGGGGTAGCTTGCCCCCTGAAGCCTAGCCGTTTGGCGCGAGAGACTCTCCTTGATAAGGTGGGGACATGACTTTTTACAGGAGGAGGAGAGAAGAGGTTTGACGATGCCGGATTTTACTGTTTTCGAATGATGGCTGGTGGAAGGAAGGACAGGTTTTTGAGAGCGCTGTTAAAAGGACCAGCATAAGCCGTGGGAGGAAGGGTTGAGGCGGAGATCCAGAAATTGGAGCCCCTCCTGGTTAGCATTCTCTTTTGTGAAGGAGAGACCCCTAGCGTTGGCAGCGAATGCATGCAGGACAGAGACGTCCGAGGTGGATGATGGGTGAACGACGAGGTAATCGTCCACGAACCTGAATATCCTGCATCCAGAACCGGAGCGGGCAAGAACCTCCTGCACCGCACGATCCACGAAGAAGAGAAAGATCTCACTAAGGATCGGTGCGAGGCAGGAGCCAATGCACAATCCGGAACTCCGGATTAAAATCTCCCCCTCGTACTCGACGAGGGAGGATCTCGGGTAGAGCCGGAGGAGGTCGAGGAAGCCTCCGGTGGGTATTCCGGACGCGTTCTGAAACCTCGTCACCCCATGCATCTCAATCGCCTCGGACACAGAGTTTAGAAGAATTTCGAGGTTGAGGTTGTGGTACATGTCCCCAATGTCCAGAGAGAACAGGTTGAGGTCATGATCGGCACGCTTCGTTCTAAGGAAATCAATTACCTCAAGAGAGTCTCTCACGCGGTAGGAATGAGGAAGATCAATAGAGGAGAGATGTCTTTGAAGGTAGAGGGCGAGCGGCTTCTGCCAGCATCCCCTCTCGGAGACGATGCTGCGAAGGGGAATGTCTGGGTTGTGCGTCTTCGCCGAGAAGAAGATAGTCAGATACTATTTGGAGGGAGAAGGTATCAAATTTTTTAGGGAGGGGAGGTTTAAAGAGGAGCAGAGAGACTTTGCCTCAGAGCGGAGAGCCCCGACAGGCGCTTCTTGAGGGGAACAAAGTTCTTTTTCAGGGCCGCGTGTGCTTTCTTGGAGAAGTCCCCCGATCGATTATCACGAACCGACCCTCCTTGTCCGCCTCGAGCAGCGCAAGGTCTGACTGGCGGAGCTCGCTTACCACGCGTGACACCCCCGAGCCAGCTGGTGTTGTCACGGCACCGTGGTGGCAGATGACTCCCGTCGCCGCCGCAACAAAGTCCTGTCGGTCGGGCTCCGTAATCCTCGCCGCGATCTCGTACACAGACGCCAGTTGGTCGACCCTCGACGACGGGGCAGGGGGCGCAAATTTGGGTTCCTTTGACAAGAGAGTGGTGGCCTCGGTTGAGAGATTGGAGTCCGATAGGGTGATCGGGGGTTCCAGGGCCACAGCCCTTCGGGAAGAGGCGCTCGTCAGGACGCCGTGGGGCACGTGTCGCCACGACGACTCGAGGAGGCGCTCCGAAGAATCTCACAGGAACACGAATGCCGGGTGATTGTGGTAGTTTACGCCGAAGCAGCCGGTCATGAGAGGACGGAGCTCGGCGTTCATCACAAGAATTTCTCTGGAAATTTCTTTTCGTGTGATCTGCATGACCCTGTAACTTGACGGCCAGCTGGAGGGCTCGAATCCCAGAAGGCGATGAACGGATGGATGATTAATGTTCTTTCGTACGCAAACACCTGTGCCGTCTGTTTCGTCCTCTTTTGTGTTTCTTTCGTTTTAAGTCAATGTAGAATTTCCTTATTCGTTACATTACAAATTGAATATTTAAAAACGAAATAAAAACATAAAAGACGTACACGGACGACCACTCTTTCAAATAGCAACGACGTTTAATTCTGGTGCCAAAAATTAACGCTCTACTCGACATTTTTACGCTGATAAGAAGGGAGGAAAGGAGGGTGGGAATGGGAATGGGAGACCGAAGGGAAGGCATGGGGGAGGGGGGCGAATTGCTGTGTCATGGTGACGTCTGTTCCTTCTAAGTAGAGTTCCCTGATATTTCCAGATCTGGCCTAAGAAATTATACTTCCCGTACCGAGAATGTTAGAGAAGCAGATGAGACGTTTCTTTCGTTCTGGATGAGGAAAGCCTCGATGATTTTGCGTCCGTAGCTTTGACTGTGAGCTCCTTTGATTTTCGTGCAACCAGTGCAGCCGAAATTGGGAGCGCGTCGGAAACAATCTTTCGATTGTGCATTGAGATGGTGCGTGGGGTACTCGGCTCTCGAAGTTGCCTCGTTGTGGTGCCCGGGAAGCCTATCATTGATGCACCGGACTGTTTGACCGATTACTTGGCTCCGCGTTTGAGCGGTACCGAGTATACTTTTTCTACACAACACACTCTAAATTGGGTGGTGTGTTTCTTCTCGCAAGACGGCTTGGATACCCTTGATTAATCGTATTACACAGGCTTGCCAGTTTGAACCTGCATAAGACAACTTTGGCGTCGAAGCGTGTGGCGACAGGTCGGATGCGGTGGGACGCCTTGTGAAAGTACGAAATGGTGGCGATCCTTTTTCGTGCGGTAGTTCTTTTATATCTTGATGGGGGTGATAAGCCGGTGAAAACATGAAACAAGAAGCTCCATTGGATACCCGGATTTCAGAAGTCGTTGGGTTGGTTTGCTTAATTATGCTCTTCGTTGCGGTATTCTGATATGACGTCGTTTTGCCGAGATTAGTAACGCGTTGATCACTCCAACCTTGACCGACTTGGAGTGAGCACTGTCGAAAGGAAAAACTTTTTTTTTTTCAATTGTTGCTTGAACGCTTAGCAAACACCGTGATTGGTTTTTGTCAGACATAGGTCCAGAAATTGCAGGCCCTCCGGGGGTGGGTCTTTCCTCTTAAATCTCAATTTAGCTCCTGCGTTGAGGAATGATGGCGAACTGTAGGGTGAATAACCCTACAGTTCGCTTTGACAACTGTAGGGTGAATAACTAGATAATAATCCACGTAGCAGAACACTTTTATGCTCTGGTTTGTGTATTTCAGCTCCGTCTCAATGGCTCGGTGAACGAAGGAGAGGCATATCTCGCTTAGCACGGGCGCAAGGCGTGAAGCTATACAGATACCTGATTTTTGAAGCCAGATTTTCCCTTCATGTTCAATAATCATGGATTTGAGGTAGAGCTGTAGAAGCTCGATGAACCCGGAAAGCGGCACTCAGGACGCATTTTGGAAGCTGCATTATCCGTACTCCGTGACTGCTTCTTGAACACAAACGGACAAGAAAGATAAGTGTGACGCTCGGCACGGGACAAAATACCTTCCGTGCCAAAATGGAGTTATTTACAGCATACCGTTAACATGTGGACGATGCTATATTGGACAGACCGGGAGATGCATGAACGACCGTGCGCGTGAAGATGTGGCCAACGTTAAGAATCTCGCAGGACGAGGACACCTCCCTGCCCATTGTCGAACTTGCAAATGCAAACCAAAGCTTGAGCAAGCCATCATCATAGGGCACCATAAAAACCAGCTTGCAAGGGAGATGTTGGAGGCCTTGGCTATAGACAAGGAAGAAAAAAAACTGTGAGCTCCGCCTTAATACCCCTGCAACCCCAAGAAAAGTTCTTTCCGAAAAGCGCCCTCCCTGCTCAGTATATGAAAAACACAATTAAAAAAAAATTATGTGCACAAGATCTAGTAGAAGAGGACAATTTATTAAAATAGTTGGTAGTCCAGCGAATAATTGTCTTTTCTGTTTCTTCTTCCTTCATTGTTCAGCTGGTTGCACCCGTAATGTATCATAACCAACTAGTTCAACTCATCCCCATAGTTTGTCGAGGTGTTCACACAATCATTAGAGCACCTTTTCCACAAAAACAAAACACGCTCATTCGTGTCCATTTAGAAGTTTAATTACTGCAATTTTTCAGTTTACAAAAAATAATGAATAAGACATTCGCTCTTGTGGGGCTTAAAGATACGAACTTAGTGTTTAGATTTACTGAGAAAAAGGGTGCCCGATATTACAGTACTTGAGATGGCGTTGGATTTAAAAACATTTACTTGGATGTTAATTTACATTCAGGAGCTTGTACGTACCTAACCTGATTACACATCCAACTTCAACACCGATTCTTGAATTTCTATTCAGGTTTGGTCCTAGCTTCCCCTTTGATCAATGATCACCTTATTGTTATTGAACGGTAGTCATGAGTATTGAACTAGCAGTACGGTACTTTAAATTTACGCAATACCATAGGGTACTTAATATCTTTGGCGAGAAAAACTGTTACTACTTAAAGGTCGATGCATGATGCCGTTTCTGTGTATTCCTAAATGTGTTGGTTTTTGTCATTTGCAGGACGTTCCAATTGACTGGTTTCCCATCACTCGAGACTGCGTCATGTATGCTGTCACAGTGGTGGCTCTCATAGGAGTAATTAGCAACAATATTGTTGAATGGTGAGCGTTAAGTTTTTTTATGCCGTTGTTCTCAAATGAAACAACAAACTATGTATATTCGGATACTAAATGGCCTTTCTCTGAGTGGCAGAAACTACTTCATAATATTACTAACTACACGCCAAAAAACGTTGTTTATTCTATCGGTGAAAAACGCTTTAAAAAATGATTGCTGCTTCCAGAATTACTTTTAGCTTGGTAATTAAGTAGTTTTAATTATACTTTGCATTTAACACTTATTATCGACTAACGTCCTTATTGTCATATCTATATGCCGCATCTACATCACGAAATGGCTGCTGTTTCGTAATGACACTTAAGTGGAGATCTGTCTTGAACATTTTTCTGTCACTCTAATCTAATTTATATTCAATTTTCACATCTGCTTTTAAGTTTTTGTGCTAAGTACAAACATAAGCTACATTTTAAACCTATCATAGTTTTCAAGAAAACCTCAAATTTATAGCAAATGTTTCTGCCCAACTTTTTTACAAAACACCCATATATGACACAAAGTATTTCAGCATGTTTTACAGGCATTAGCAATTGCGGCAAAACCATTTTTCGAATTTTAGTATCATTCTAGAAAAAGTTATCACGAGTTGAAAATTGTTTGCTCATGATCACAGTCCGACATCTAGGTCTGTCGATTAAAACTGTTTATGATTAACTTTTTCAAAGATAGTAGTCGTGTTACTCTCTCTAATTTATGAGGTACTAAACCCCGAAAAAGTATTCAGGTCCAAGCAATAGATCCAAAGACTCCATAGGCAAAACTTTGTATTGTGACGAAAAGTTAATTCTTAGAAAACACGTAAACCCTTTTAAAACAAAACAGCATGAATAATAAACTTTGAATCCATTTAACTAATATAAATGTTCATTTCCAAAGTAAGGTACTGGCATTAAATTTTGTTTTTAACGTATAAATCAAGAAGAATGTTTTGAAAGACTAATTCTATTATAATTTCTGTGCTTTGAGACCAGAGTCTCTTCGTCAGCGATACAGATGCTGATATTTTGTGCGTCTCTGTCCAGATACTACCAATATTTAGGTTTAAATTCTTTTATCAGTTTGATTAAAAGTGGGTAAAAACACTTTGCTGAGCGCCATTCCACATGCCTAGAACGGTGAGTATAGTGCACACAAGGGAGGAACACGGAAGAACAAACTCAGCGCTGTATTTGATATTTCTTTTGTGTTCATCTCTTCCCAACTGGCCCAAGCTTCAGGCGTAACCATTCTGCAACGTATTCTCGCAGAAGTAGTTTAAAAAATAAATATAACTTAGTCCTATGGATAAAGTCGGACGACAGAATGGACTGCGTGTTTTGAGCTGCAGTGTTTATTTGTCAGCTTTTCTGCGACAATAACGTGATTGGTGACATTATAGGTCGCGGTGTCACGTCGTGGCGTCACGCCACGTTATGTGATGCAGTATCACGTGACATCACTTGGCGTAGAAGTATCACGCCATGTGGCGATACTGATGGTGAAACTTGACATCGTGGTTTTAGTGTTACGTCGCGGTATCACGCAACGTGGCATAGTGCCACGTGAGCACGTCACGCTGATGGCGTCATCTGGCCACCGTCTTTTTGATGACAACACATGACTACTGTCCGCTAAATTTAGCATTTACGTAAGCACATTCTTGAAATGCAAAAATCAGAGGGTAGAGTTTTGTGGCGTCACGTACGTCACACTTCCCTCGGCAATCCCAGCCTTTCTCTGTTCAAAATTAGCTTCAAAAACGTTTCCTCATTTCTTCTAGGTACGAGGCCCTGATTCTAATCTTGATGTTTCTGGCTTACATCGTGGTGCTGTTCTTCAATGCTCACATCGAGTACTACTCCCTGGTCAAGGTACGAGAAGAATGGCTGCATGTGGCGGCCCTCCGAGAGTGCAATGGCCGACTCGGGCCGGGTCTCACACCGTGTCCGGGACACAGCTGCCGAAATGAGGTGTACCACGTTCACGGCTGGCGCAGCAAGGCACGTCACACGCCTTTCCCGTAAAACAATCGCCGCCCCGTTTCCTCTGGCTGGCTCGTAGGAGCGATATCGCTAACACCATACTAACTCATTTGGTCAGATGCGCCGGGAGAGTAACTTCAAGCCGCAGCTAGACACATTAGTGACTTCCTTGAACGGCAGGAACTGCAGTAAAATTGTAAATATGTTTATATGCCCTTTCTTCAACATTTTTTTTTATAAAACCTTAGATTGGGGGTGGATAAAGGAAGCATAGCAAAACCGATTTTTAACGTGTAAACCCATACTATGCAGGGTTACCATGTGTAATCTTTAGACATCATGGCACCATAGAAGCATGGAAATTTGTTTAAATTTGTGAAAACAAAGGGTGCGACCGATCTAGACATCACAATGAAAGAATCGATTTCTACCTTTTTATTCATGATAGAAGTATACAGAAACTTTTGATTTATATTTTAATGGTGTGAAAGAAGCAGGGGAAAGGAGCGGTACTTAATTTTTCCATAAATGATGGACACTGATTTACCTCCTATTAAAATATATCGTTTGTGAGTAAGTTTTTATGCCTCCCGGAGATTCAAAATATTGTTAGTTAAAATGCGTTAGAACATAAAGGTACAGCTCCTTTACTTCCATATTTCTAGACATATTTTTCGACACATATTTGTTATCTTTCGAGCTGAAATGTTTGCTGCAACTGCACTATCGTGGAATCTTATAAACATATAAATAGAAATGTTAGAAAGGAGCCAGTGTTTTTATTGTCTTTTTGACTAGATATAATAATAGTTTTGTCCTGCAATATCCAAAATCGGCTTGATAGCTCTCCAGGCGCATCCTCTCTATGCTTGTCTTTGATGGAAATTGGAAGTGCAAGCCATGTTCCGCCTGTGCTCGTGGTACACTAACATACCTCACACTCGTTTGCCTATTTGTATTTTGTTAGTTGATAAAGCCACTGAATTCTTGCTTAAGTGGCAATTTGACTGTAATAAAAGCTGGGACTCTGGGGTAAAGGGTAATGACATGCTTTTCGAGAAGACGGAGTCCCCTGTCGGGTAGCTAAGGTAATTGAAATGTTTTCAGAATAAATCCAGTTTCTGTTGTTACAATTCATTGCTTACCAACAAACCCATTGGGCTACATACCAACTGTCAACCAGCCTGGTACAGTACACTTCAGAATGGTGTATTTTATATTCTTCTTCGGGCACGTCCTGGACTGCTGTCGTATTAGATTTTAAATAACTTTATATCTTGAAGCGGCCGAAAAAAATGCCGCAGATTTAACTTTGCAAATGCTATATCTAGAAAAGCAGTTTTTAAGATTCAAATGTCACCGCGTTTCAAGTCATTATTTTAAAGGCCAACGTACATTTTGCGCTTTCCACTTTTTCCCGCCTTTTCCTATCTTATTATCCTATCCACTTTTTACCTTGCCCCAACTGGCTCTTCTCGCAGTTTAGGAGAGGGTAGAGCTAAGAGGATTATCTTCCCTGCAGAAAACTGAGGTTGTACGTCGGCCTTTAAGAGAACAACAGCAAAGAAACATGCACGGTATGCTTTGTAAAAATTTGTCTGCCATAATTTCCAAACACGGGCAATATACGTTTGTTATTTGCTTATACATTTTTGTGTACCAAAATTAACATTCTGTGCTTTTTTGCTAACTGGCAGTAGGTTTATTTACAAATGAAATTCTTCGAAGTTTCAGTTTTATTGTTTGATGCTAGAGAGTGATTGCACATGCTGTTCGTGTAAATGGTGGTAGTTGTGGGTGTTCACTAGGATATATTTCGAAGAAATTCTCAGGATGCAAAAAATGTTCAAAGCACAAATTTTTGTAAGATTCCTTGAAAAGCTTCTGATATCATATTTTAGATGTCTGGATTTCGCTGCTGTTTAATATCCACATAATAATGCAAGGTCAGATATATATACATATGCTCTAATTTGAAGGCTACTTAAAAATCTTTTTTTGTTTTCGCTCGGGTTTTGTTTGTCCTACAGTTAAAAAATTAAAAAAATCCAGCTTTTATCTTTTAACCTTGCGTCTAGTGTATCTTCTAATTTCAAATAAGAAACATAAGCTGCAGGACCTGACCACTGAAGCACCGTTCAGAAAAACGGCTCACCATATATACTAATGGAGTTTCTGGTGCCGAGTTATTGCGACTTATTCACAGCGAACATTTCTACATGAGGAATTTGTGTGTTGTATAGAAAAAATACGATTTCCAACGCACACAAAGATAATCTTCCCAAGTTCTAGAAAGCTATACAAACACCAAAAATAACAAATCTTAAAAATGTTCAGTAACTTTAAAGACCTCGTAAATTTTAAAAATTCCTTTCTAAATATAGAAATATTTTTAAGACACTTAATATCTTTCTCTGAATTTGGGAAATTTTTATAATTGGTATTTAGCATGTAGTTGGTATAACGTGAATGTGATTTTGCAAAGCTGGTATTTCCTTGCTTGTATTCTCCACTGGTGAATTGCATAGTGTCTGTAAGAACTAAAAACGGGACAGAGACCTTTGTCAGGCCTTGCGCCTTTAGCGTCTTTTATTTTTTTAGTTTTTTCTGCGAAGAAAACATTCGATGACATGCAATAATTTTAAAAAATCATGTTAAAGGGCAACTCCGGCCAAAACTCAAAATGAAATAAATTACTGGTATCGCTGTAGTGACACAAAATACGACTCCGGCCAAAATATTACGTCCGTAGAACGCCGCATTCTCAACTAAGGCCGATAACAAAAATGCGACCCGCCGAGGAGCCGCTGCTCCTTAGCGGGCGGCCAGCGGGTTGCCGATCGCTAAATCAACATTGGGCCGTGACGTCCGTATCGTTCTTTTTTTCCTCCGGTGCGGGCGTTGCGCGGAGTGCGCTTCTTTGAGCCTGTACCACCGCTACTTCGGCTTGTGTTTGGCGTGTTTAGCCGTTGCTTTTATCTGTAGCCCGTGTAGCTTCGGTATAGCCTTTTGTTTATTTGCTTGTGAAGACTTTTAGCGAGCAACTCGATGCGCCCAACACTGCCCAGCTGTTCCTCGAAAGATGTTTTCCTTTTAAAAAAGAATTTTAAAAGCAAAAAATACATTTTATTTTTAGTAGGAGTAGAGAGGTTTCTGAAGGTTTCAATGAACATGTCCCTTTTACGTTGACTGTCTATCTTCAGGCCCGAATAAAATATGAAAACGCGCAATCTGCTACTCATAGAAATAATGTTAAAACTTTATGTGTTTTGTTCTTTGAAGATGTAATCCATACTGTCTCCCGCATGCATTAAGCCATTTTCTGTTATCCTGTACTATAGGTGGAAGCGCTACGAAAGAAGTGGTTCGAGCACAGCGACGCTGCAGCCAATAAAGAGCAGGATGACGAAGCTACTCCGCTCGTGAAGAGTTTTCAAGAGAGACAAGAATTTGCCACAACTCAGAGAAGAGACTCTGCTGTTTCCGCTGACGTGGAAAGGCGACGACGCGACAGCATTCTTGTCAGTGAGAGCGGTGAGTCAAGACCTTGTTTTCGATTGTCTCCGTGGGACTGGATACAACGATGAATATTTCGCGTCTTCTCCTGTTAACACCAGGGGCATCCGTGAGACTAGAGCACTGTAGTCAGTAGTAAATAACAAGATGACAACGGCCGGACGTTTCTTTTTGAATGCACGGTTTCTAGCACGTGTTCGTTGCATTCCGCCGTTTTTTTTTTTTCTGATTGTGCAGGCTCGAAGCTCACGAGGGGCGCTGAGGTATTACAGAAGGTAGGAAACTCGTTATAGAGGCAAGACATCCAAAATGTAGGGCTGGGCATCGATTAAGCATTTTAGCCCGATTAATCGGTACCCGTTAATCGAATAATTGATCGATTAATTGATCGAGTTAAAGCCAGGCAAAATAGCACCAAAAACGTAAGAGCACTTTTAAAATTTTTTTTTCTTCTGGATAAACGTTGCGATGTGCATTTTAACCAGGGAATGAACATGTGGAGTTGAGTGCAGTTAAAATATACTCCCAGATAAGTATTCATCCGGGGAAGTCGTAACAGAAGGAGTTTTCTGGTATTCTTCGACATGATCATGAGCGGTCGAGTTTCTTGCTTCTGCACAATCATCCCTGCTGCACTATACAGGTGCTCGAGAGACGTTGAACCAGGAGAGACATTTTTTAACGACGGGCCTTACTTCAGAACCAAGGAAGCCCTACGTTCGCCGGCAGTCAAACAATAAAGAGACACGCCCAGACTTCTCCACTAGCCAGTCGACACCGTGGTCCGTCGCCATTGAGTGTCACGAAGGCGAAGCGCGATTGGCCCGCTGTGAAATTCGCCTGCTTTGATTGACAACATCGGTTTTATGCAAGACAACATATAAAAAACGCTTCTTTCATTGCCCTTGTCAGATGTGCAGATCATGCTTGTAGCAGTTCGCCTATGTGGGCATCACATTCAATATCTTCAATGACGTATTGTGAAAAATGTGTTTCCAATCGTCGCCTTGAGCGCCTCTGAGTGGCGGCCGTTGATGCCAAAAAGAGAAGAAAAAAAAAAAACAAAAAAAAAAGAACACCAAATTCTCAAAAACAGATATGCTACTGACTGGGCGCGCAGGCAGATTAGTGAAAGTGAAGCTGCGGGACTTTGTCCCACTTGGGGAATTTCCGCCTGCCGGCAACCAGCTGTCCTTTAGAAGCGCCCCCTCTGCACTGGACTAGCTGGGCGCCGCGCTTCTATGTGTCGTGGATGCCAATAAAATATTATGTACGTTATCTGCGGACAAACAGGATAATGTTTGCGTACTAAAAAAAACACTGGTAAAAAAAAAGTCGATGGGATTACTCATATGTTACCCGGTTTCCACTTCAACCGATGTACCAGTTAAAAGTTTTGTTCACGATTAAAGCATTAACTGATTAATTGGAAAGTTAATTAAAGAATCGCCCCCTACCTGCCGGACGTTCCCATCTTGCCAAAGAATACAGCTAATTTTTCTAATGTCTCGTTCTAGCATACGTTATTTTCACCTGTTATGCTGACAGTGATTTTTGACATATAACTCTTCACTAGCATGATTACATCTTTCATGGTAAATTGGTTGAAATAGTTTTCATATGTATACTTTAGAGCTCACCAAGAGCGACATTTTTTGGGTGGTGAAGCGGAGTCACTGCAGTGCATCGTGCGAAAAGAGGACATAAACATTACGTGTAATGCTATTTATTATTTAGATTGCATTGAGATGGAGTGCCCATGGTGATGTAATTTGCTCGCATAACTCGCGCTCTGGTTATATCACTGGCAACTTTTAGCTTAAGCTTTAACTCTTTAGCTTTTACTAGAGTAAAGTTTTTTTCTTGTGTCTTGGCATCCAGAATAATTTAGCTGTCTGGTATTTCATGAATTCCATGGAATTGTGGTATAAGCTCAAACTTGGAGCTTCCATATTGAACACAATCATTCACTTTCACGTTCGAGAATCAGGTCATTTTTTTATAAAACGCAAAGGAAGCGGCTACATTGAATGTTATACCCACATAGGTGAACTGCTACAAGCATGAGTTGCATATGGGACAAGGGCAATGCAAGAAACGATTTTTTTCCATATTGTCTTGCATGAAAGCGATCAGTTTTTCTCTCGTTTTAACTAGATAGCGTTAAAAAGCTCGTGTCGCAGAAAAGCCGGCGTCCGTGGCGTGACGGGAAAATCCTGATTGGTTGATAGGGTTATGACGTCGCAGCCACATGACCTGGCCCGGGAATTTCAAACAAGCCCCAACGCTCACGTGAGACGTGGCGTCACGCGTGGAATAGAAGTGATTAAAACATGACATGGGCAGCGAATTCAAGGTCGCCGCATGTCTCAAATGATTTCGTTTTGTAAAGTAGTTCATTTGCCTTAAAGAAAAACTTCCAGAATTTTAGGCGAGATCTCAGCCCACGACCCTTCGGTTGCGAGCCAGACATGCGACTGACTAGGCCGCGCAAGGCACAATTGCACGGCAAATGAGAAGGAGATGCGAACGGATCCCGATAACGCAATCGCGTTCCACCCTTAAAGGGAAACTGAAGCGGTTTTGTATTTGAGGAATCACACCTAAATTGTTTTCATTTGACCATCAAGATCTCGATAATGAAATTTAGTTTTTAATTTGGTGCATGAAGGCCGCAGAAAATTTTTTAAGTACCGCTGAAGGCCTGCCTTCCCGGAGCGTGACGTCACAAAATGAGTTTTCTGAATCTCCGCTCTCGTGCATCTTCAACGTCTATCAGACTCTGCATACGTATTCTTGTAATTTTGTTAAATGAGGCAAAAAAAAAAAAAAAAGTCACGACTGGTGCCAGTGCGGGGAAATATGCCTGGCAAGCTTGCAATTGCATGCGCGGCCCTCCACCGACACGGGCTTGAGGGCCGAAAGCTTATCTTATGACGTCACAACTGGTCGGATTTTTTTTTGTGGCTTCTCGATTTTAGTTTATTTTTGGGGAAAACTAACATGATGTTCAGATTCACGAGATAAAACTACGCTAGTATGAACCTCTATCTCGTTTTTTTTTTGAAGAAGTGCTTCAGCTTCCCTTTAAAGGCGGAAGCTTAAGCGTCCTCCAAGTTTTTATTTAATGTTTTACCCTAAACCGTGAAAATTTGACTGAAATTTTTCTGGTCATGGAAACAATCTCAGGGACCCACTGTTTCGAGGCCCAATCAGCTTATTTTGCATGCATGACAATGGCTCTCTAGTAGTGTCACATAGTGATAAAAATACACATTCTGCTGCATCTGATCTGGTTTAGTGAGACGTTGATGTCTGATGCCGATCTCAATTTTTGTTGTGTTGGGCTTGGGTCAGTTTAGGTGCCCCGATCCGCTCGTTTGTTCCGGTTAGATTCGTAGAACAGGCAGCAGAGTTAGTATGTTTGGCTCAAAGCCCAAACCTGTGCTGTTGTTAAGGCATCTGACCTCAAGGAAGAGATTACAGTGCACGACACTTAGCATTCCTTGGTGTTAAGAACTTGAATAAACACAATTCCAGAACTCACGAAACAGATAGCACTAGATTAATGCTTGACCCCAAGCTTAGGCCGATTAGTTGTTTTAAAGACGTCCGACTTTTAGGAAAATGGAGAGAACATGTGGTTTTTACGTTTTGAAATATTTAGGACGACGCGAGCATATTACAAAACAAGTAGAACACTGTTTGTGTCTGTGATATTTTGTAATTTTCTCTGCCCTTTTATTACAAACATATTTTTAACATCATGAAACGAATAACGTGCGGTTGATGCCAAGTACGAGACACGCCGTCATGACGCCTTCTTGTTGTAGGTGCGGACTGTCAGTAATCTTTGTCGTAGACTACATCGACGACTGAAAAGCTTGTGAGAAGTCTCTCAATTGTAATTTGTGTTTGTATGGTGTGCGTCTGGTTTCTCCGATGTAGATGAGAAATTTAGGCAGTCCACTACGACTGCTAGCCTGGATTTTTATTGTGCATCAGTCAGTATCGATACATAAACATAATCCGGTGCAATGCTAATTTAGATCGAAACGGGCAGAAATGGGGGATCGGTGGCCAGTGTGTTAGATGTGTTTCAATTTCTAGAAAAAATAATCTGCTAATTTTTTTCTAACAACTTGCTCTATCCCCCTCAATGTCAAATCCGGTCTTACGGATACTGTTCACTATCTCATAGGTAAACTTCCCTTTTCTCCACGGTGCCACTTGCGGTGCCACTTTACTGTCTTACGTTATTGGCATGGCGTCTTTTAAAGCCTTATGGCCTGTACTGGCACTTGAGTAACCTTGCCATCTGTATCGCAGTGTGCAAGCTCGAAGAACAAGAAGAGCAGGAGAGCGTGTGGTACATGCCGCGCGAGGGCTCTGTGGGTCAAGTACTTTGGGTGCTGTTCTGGCCCGTGCGGTTCTTGTTGCACTTCACGGTGCCCGACTGCCGCAAGGAATCTCTCCGGCGCTGGTATTCACTCACCTTCATCCTGTCTGTCGTCTGGATCGGGGGTGTCTCCTACCTGACAGTATGGATGGTCACCATAATCGGTTACACCATTGGCATACCGGATTCCGTTGCTGGAATCACGGTGCTGGCTGCCGGAACCAGTGTCCCTGAAGTCTTCTCCAGCGTGATTGTTGCCAGAAACGGTGAGGTTCACCGCACCCATCACTGGCCGTCTCCACCAATGCTTTGAACCCACTTTAGATGGTCTCCCAAAATCGGTTTATGATCGCGTCGTACTGAAATTTACTCGGCTAGGTGGCGTAAGTTTAGAGTGAAAATATAAACAAATTAACTGAATTCAATCAAAAGAGAACATAGCACATTTAAATTGGCGGCTGTGGAATTAGAAACCAAAATGAGCTACCATATCACATATTTGATTTTTTCTTTCCTCCAGGCCTTGGCAACATGGCCATTTGCAACTTGCTGGGCAGCAACATCTTCGACGTTCTTTTTTGCCTCGGGGTACCCTGGTTCTTGAAGGCCGTGTTCGCCTCGAGGTCTCACGAGGTGTTCATCAACAGCGCCGCCATGACCTACACAAGTGTGACGCTCTTGTCGACAGTGGTCTTGCTCTTCGGCACGTTCGTCATCACTCGCTGGAAGCTCAACTACAAAGTGGGATTTGCTTGTCTCATCATGTACATTATCTTCATCACACTCGCTTGTATGTACGAACTGAACGTCTTCGGGGACTTCAACCCCCCCACCTGTGCTTAACCGGTTCTGTCGCTTGTATTTGCACCACGAGGCCTGCACGTAAGCCTGCAACCACCACCTTCTTTATAGCAGCAAGGCCTTGGTGTTGGTTTTTGTTACCTCAGCTATCGCACGATAGCGCGGTGCATAGATTGGGCAGGAGTGCCGCGTCGGTCTTCGTCTGGGGTTTGTGTCTTCAATGATTGAACCCGAGTTCCGACCGAATGCTGGCGCGGCGCTCCTATCCAATCGCATGTTGCGTAAAATTTCATCACTGCGGCCTTTTTATGTAGGAAGTGCTCCTTGAACTGAGTTATGCCGATTGAACTCGGCCGTCCAGGAGCTATTTGTGCACTTGAAAGTTCAGTATGTTGGTACATTGGTCAATCGCCGAAAGAGAACGTATGTTGTTATTTGGGGAGCACGAAGCAGGGGTCGGGGAGGGATAGGATGACGCTCTCAATATATGGCCCCTTCATTTATTCACCATCTCTGTACCGATCCGAGGGAGACTGCTAGAACAAGCCCGAAATTTTCAAGGAATGCCCGATTTTCCTGAGAATGAACCTGACGTACCAAAAATGTGTGATAGTTTTTTTTTTAAAATAAAGTTAACGCTTCGTGAATATTTTTTAAAGCACATTTTTCAAAACTATTTGCTTTGCCAATTCGAGCGACTATGCGTCATGACGTTATCAGGTCACAATATTTCTGAATTTGTTGTCTATGCTTTTTAGTTACAACAGGCATTCTGTCCAGGCTCCAAACAAAAAGAAACACAAAAGAATATTTTGTAAAAAGTCTTTCACCGTAGGAATGATGGCGCCGTGAGATTCCATCCCTGAAACAAGTCCCACGATGAAGAGTTGAAGAATGTATATAATTGTTTCGTGAATACCGGGGCAAATGTAGAAATATGTCCGAAGATTGTTTAATCCTTTAATTATGTATTATATTAAAGAAAAGGGAAATTGCAGCTTGTACGAGTTTTAAAAAGCGATCCACATTTCTCACGGTGGTATGTAAATAGGTTGTTCAGTGCTTTTTTATTGGTTTTATATCTTTGCTCCTAACCAAAATGTTAATTTGCGATTTGTGCTTTGTGTCTGTGTGTGGGTATTCAGTGTACGAGCTCGATTATTAGTTTTGATCTCCAGTTAATACTTTCACGGGGCTTAGCATAGCCTGTGTGGAACATAGTGTTGCGGCTATTTACCGTAATCTCAATACCGTGTCCCAATATGCCCAATAATGTTAACCCTCCCACACTTTACGCTGCACGTGCATGAACTAAAGCCGGCCATTGGAATCTCGAGAAAAATTACTTTACCCCTAAAAGTTTTCTAATTTGGTTAGTGTTTTAGTGTTTTATTCTTTTAAATATTTTCAAGTTCAATTATTCGTTCTATTTTGTATCAGGCTTAAAAAATGCTCTTCTTGCTGCAGCCTTCAACTCTGCAAACTTTTGAAGGAAGCTGTATGCTTTATGCGAGACAAAAATTGAGTTTTATTATCTAAATCGAAGTCTATGCTTGAAGATTTGTTTTATTACTGAAATGTGCAGAATAAAGTTACTAAAGTTTCCGGAGTCCTAGATTTTATTTCTTTCAAACATGGTGGAGTTACTATTTATTTTTCTTTATAGCTGTTAGTTTTCTCGAAGATGGTGTTCCTGTAGATAGACCAAAACTGCTTTAATGACTGCTCTGATCATTAAAGCATTACAAAACTGGGAACACGCAAGTTCAATCACGAGAGGGGATATAAAAGACTTGAAGCATTCGTCTCGAATGAGAGCAAAATGAAAGAAGATTCTCTATTTTTTTTATAAACTAAATAATGACAGAAATTGAATATTGCTAAAATATATTAAGAACCTGTCGCGTTCTCATCGCGGCAATTAAACATGCACACAGGTCATATCGTCTCGGTTAATTGTTTTTAAACTTATCGAATTTTCGTTTTACAGTTATGGGCTGAAAACAGCCGTTCTATTTCCTCGTGTTGACGTTCTCAATTAATGGAAGATCGTGGCCTGTAATGGTACCCTGTCTTAGCAATTTATTTTGTAAAATTTAGAAAAATTAAACCAGCCCACATGGTTGACGAAATATCGCCGCTGCTAAGTTAAACTGATACCTCGCACAAAGTGAGGGAAAACACAGTAACTTGATGTTGTCAGCAGGTATTCAAGAAACTATAGACTAGCATCCGTTTCAGTTACCTTAGCCATTTACCAAATGTTTAAAGACTTGGAGTGCTTCTTCACGAACATATACACTAGGATGTCAAAAATAAATAAATAAATAAATAAATAAATATTGCTTATTCGAAAAGAACCAACGTATGTGTAAAAAAAATCAGGAATTTTTTAAAAAGTTTTCTTAGGTTTTAAATACGATAGGGGTGGCACTCCGCAAAACAGCTGATCCGGCACTTCGCCGAGGCTAATGTAAAGTGTCATTCTCAGTTACGTCGTATATCAATGCGATACCAAATATTGGAGGTTTTTGAGTAAACCTGAATTGAGAAAAATCTTACCTGAGAGTGCTTGAAAGGGTTATTGTTTTGTGAATATATAAACGAACACGGAATTATAGCTGTTACCGACACTCAGCACTCTGCGTCAGCGCGAGTAGTGAACCTGCAGCACTGTGCAAGATGTTTTTTTTTTCCAATATGTGCATTGCCTTGCAGGCTAATACCGACAGCTTACAAAAAACAAACAATAAAAAAATGTTATTAGTATCGATTTCATCTATGGCGCTTTTGTCGCTATAAGTACGTTTATTTTTAATCATGCCGTTCATTTATCTTCGCAGTGTTTGATTTCGCGGTTTACATCCCACTGATTTGAGTATTTGAGGCTGCATCACACTTTCAATTTTACGTATTTAAACGAGCTGTGCAACGATTTTAACTCTGAAAGAATTGGCATCTTCTACTTTTGACATTGTTTATCTTTCACGAATGTTGGGAGTCCGCCGCGTAATTGCCAGGCAAAAATTAGATTATTTCCCGACCTGCAGCCGCGAGCGGCGGTCATGAGAACCACGCGGAGTTGACGTCAATGGGGGACTTGTAGAAATATAACAAGTTGTGAAAATAACTGCTCGAGAATAGGTAATTTTTCTATAAAAAGTCCAGACGCATCTACGAGCTGATGGGACCTATCAGACAGCGTCAAAAACGCACAGTCATGGTGTGTCATGCTTTAGCACGTGTTCTATCATCGCTGAATGAAGCGAATCATAAACATAAAAGGCCTAGTGATTTGTGCTTCGGGCGCTGTTTGGTTGGTCCCACTGCCTTGTAATGCCGGCTCCGCCTGGACGTGAGCTGGAACGAAATATGGGTGTGTACAAACACTGCTTCAATAAAAAGCGTAGCGGCATCCATAGCTCCAACACTGCAAAGGAAGAGAGGGCGTTGTGGAGACCTGGCTGCCCTCCCCCACGTCGACCCTTCGGGCCCCAAATCCCGGCAGAAGCTGAACGCGCCATGCCTCCGAGATGCGTCATGCCTCGGGAGAGAAGCAATGGCCTCGCGTACCAGAACATTCGGCTAAACCGCTCCCCTAGACAAGTGACGTCACGCGATTGGCTTTTCGAAGCAAAGGAGCCATGGCTTAATAAGGGGACCCAGGACAAAGGGGGCCTCCCTCGGGCGGCGGCTCTCGAACGGCGGACAGGATAGAAGCATGCAGCGGTGACAGGAGACGAAGACGCTGGCGCGGGAATCGGCGGGAAGACGGACGATGGCGCGGGGAAAGTGCGGCAGAGACATTGAGCTGCGGACTGGACCGACGAACCGGACAGCGACCCCGGACGACGACGTCCCCATGACGCGGTGTGGACGACTACCGGTGGGACTTGGAACAGCTGCATGGCAGCGGACTTTGCCCCGGCCTCGTTGATGACCGTTCCCCTATCCCGAAACCCCCCAGGCAATAAGTGAGTGAATAAGCCCTTTTGCCGAGAGCGAAGTATTGTAGTGTCATGTTCATCCGGGTACAGGGTCTGGGGGAATCGGAGTTACAAGGCCCGCAGTGTGTGGTAGGCTGTCCTAGTAAATAATAAGGTCACGAATAACGCCGGGCTATTCAATAGACCGATCTCACCGGCCAGTTTGACTACGACACCGCTGTCGCAATGCATCAAGGGAACTTTAGTCTTTCTGCACGTGCGACAACCTCGCAGAAGCTCTGCGCGTGAGGAGCACGAGACAGCACGAGCCCTCTCGTGCACTGCCGTTTGCCTCCTGTGAACTAAAGCTATGGTGGCGTCACGCATGGGCCGAACGCTCGGTGAGATCGGTCTATTGAAACCGCTATACTCTTCTTCAGATTAAGGCAGGCTTAGGGAATCGTTTTTGCACGTCCGATGCGGTACGATGGGCCCTTTGGTACAAACTGAGCATGCGCTACCGCAGGAGGCTCGCACACGCTCAGTTCATACCGGAGGGCCCATCGTACCATATCGGATATGCAAACACGGTTCCCTAAAACTTTCTAATGGCTCCATCGGATCGGCTCTGTCGGACTGTAGCGTCGTCTGCTGTTCGATTTAGAGTGAAACGGAGAATAGCCTGACAACCCTTATTCCGAGCAGGTCGACAATAAGGAAGCACGCCCACTGGTTAATATAATTTTTTTAAGAGTATATATTTTTTTGTGAATGCTCGTAAATTTTATGAAGTGTTTTTATGCTTATCAATCTGCCATATAATTAAAAGCCACAAAAAACAAACTAAGGACAAAAGCGTGGAATGTGTCGTGTAGAAGGAGCTAGAGATCAGATCCGGCCAGAAGTTTAGGCCCGGCTGACCCGATCCGGCCCGGTAAAGCCTGAGCCCGAACCCGGCATCTAGCCCGAGTGGGCTTTCGAAACGTAAGCCCCGAGCCCGACCCGACCAAAAACAAATTTGGCCCGAATCCGGCCCGAGCCAGACTGCTCTTTTCGCCATGTATTCAACACGAACGTGGCCCGAATCACGCTGAACCAGACCCGAACCCGGCCCCCACTGTGTTTTCTTCTAGTTTTACCTTTGTTTTACGTGACACCGTTCATATTGAATGGGAATTTTCAATCTCGGAAGTAAAACACATTTGTGTGAAAGGTATGCACAGCCGTTTTATTTACTCAGGCTGTTTCTTGAACGATGATGCGGACGACAAGAATCCGGCTTGATTTAAATAAAAAACAAACAAAAATATTTTTTGCACCCCCGTTAATATACTTAAATAAATTTTATTTAAATATACCGCTCTTTGCCGAGTACCAACGTGTCGACTGAATATCGGAAAAGAAACGGCAGGTGACCGCATCCCGAGACTTCTGAATTTATTAATTTCCCACAATATTGATATATTAGATAAACGAAGTTTAAATTAATTACATACTCATGTATAGCTTTGACATAATGTACTAATATTAAGTTCTCTATATATTTGTATGCTACAGCTAATGCTTTCGGTTAAGTTGTTAATTCAGAAATTTCTCCTCATGTTGTATGTATTTGTATTTATGTAAATATAGCACTGGTGTATTTATATTCGACTGAAAATTAACAAAATGATCTTGGTTGGATATGCTCGCTGTATAACTGAAAACCTTTTTTTGAATGTTCCCTTTAACTGCTGTAAAATTCCACTGGGGCCGAGAGCTCGTCAAGCCGTTCATCCCTACTTTTGTTTTCTTTGCCCCATCATTACCTGTAACGGGGAACTAAAATAAATTATTATTTTCGACCAAAGGACATTTTTTAAATTAATCTTATGTTTATATTCGAGACAAGAACAGGTAAACAAGCACTAAGTTTAGCGCACAGGGTAATATATTTTACCTTTTCTTCCAACTTTCCTTCGTAGTCTCGGGATTTTAACATCATGATCAACATACACCAGCTCGCCTGCACCTTGACAATTTTTTCATTAAGTTAAGGAACCTGGAGCTGTTTTTACACCCCCTGCTGCGCAACGAAAAATCAAATGACAAATATTGTTAAATCGCTTCAAAAGACGCGAAAACAGTGAAGCAGATGAAAGATGTTACAGAACTTTAGTAGTAGTAGTTTTGAAATACAACTGAGCCTTATTCAACTCCCTATTAAAAATTGAGAAGCAAGTATTAAAAGTTATGAGGTACATGATTCTTTACGAATTAGCGTGAAGGAACAAGATGTAATTTACACACTCCGGAGATAACGTCGCCGAATGCTGCTGAAGCACAACTCCAGCAGAGCTGAACGTTTAATCTCTACTTGCGCTTGTCGCTGGAATACACAGGATTCTCTGCGTGGTTTGGCTGAACGAGGAATATTGTTCTGCGTGAAATTTACACCACTCCAGAAGGTCTCCAACGTCCACAGAACTCTTGTCAGTGTCCAAGTAACGTTCAACCTCGGTGTTGCAAGGGCGAGGATTCTTGGCTTGTCGCCGTTCTTGGAAGCCGGTGCATTTTTCTGTTTTCTGCTGTTTTTGCGCGGGGCTCATCCTGTTCGTCTGAATCACAAAGAATCTTCATACGAAAAAAGAAAATCAAGTTTATTGCCACATTAAATGATGAGCAAGGCTTCTTGGATCCTACA